CACCAGTTTGGAGTCTTGACATTTTGGCCACCGTTGGTTGCTTATTTACGCTATTAAACTGTGACTCGATGATAAAGAATGCCATAGGGCGACATTCCGCCGAAAGGCACCTGTGTGGGTTCTTTACATTATGGTCACAGTTGATTGCTAAACGCTACCAAACCATGGCTAAATGATCAGAAATTCCATTTGGCGACACATGTTAACACTCTTTGAACATCTGAGGTATGAGTTCTGGAAATTTTGGCTATACTTGGTTGCTAAACGCTACTTAACAGTAAATGTTCAACAGTGACTTGATGATAAAGAATGCCATAGGGCGACATTCCGCCGAAAGGCACCTGTGTGGGTTCTTTACATTATGGTCACAGTTGATTGCTAAACGCTACCAAACCATGGCTTAATGATCAGAAATTCCATTTGGCATAATGGAGATGTTGTATGTGTGAGGAATTTGCGATTTGACTGTTGAATCTTGGGTAAAAGGTCACGAGAAACACGATGGTGGCACTGGTTTTCTCTGAAATCATCTCCCAAGCTCAAAAAAAAGCACTCAAGTTGAGGCCAAAATGGAGGGAATATCCCACCCTACCCTGAGAGTCCAAGTCTAGATCAAGACCAACTCTCCATGCAAAGATAGGGAGCTAATACATTGACAGGGCTACCAATTTATCTGGGGACTCCAAAACTGAAAACACGGCAACCCTGCTAATGTATTTGCTCCCTATCTTTGCATGGAGAGCTTGTCTTCATGTAGACGTGGACTCTCAGGGTAAGGTGGGATATCCCCTCCATTTTGGCCTCAACTTGAGAGCTTTTTTTGAGCTTGGGAGATGATGTTTTTAGAGAAAACCAGTGGCACCATTGTGTTCCTCGCGAACTTTTATACAAGAATCAACAGTTAAATTGCAAATTCCTCGCACATATAACATCTCCATTGGGCCAAAATGCACCGATATCAATACCTCATATGTTACTTGGTTCCTCGAAAATTCTCCTCTTGGACTTAGCCTAAAAGTGTGGACACTTTTTAGGCTCCGGCGAAACCTAGAGTCTATACGGCTTCGCCGCACGACTAAAAAAACAAAAAAAAACGCAACTGGCCTATTTAGTTAACCTGACTAGGTAGCGCAGATGAGTTCATTGCAGAGGTTACAATCATACTATGATTTACTTTTAAATAAACATTTCTCTGCTTAAAAATTGTTTACTCAGTCATTAAATAGGAGTTGCTTATGACATCAAAGGCATCATGACAGTTTTTCAAAACAGGTGCTACGAATCGCTTGGATCGATTCTTGATTCTTACTCTAAAAACTTGTAATAACCTTTTGTGTAGCTTCATAGTATGTAGCCCTTCAAAGTCTATTTTTTGAAATTAGGCAACTCATGTTCCTGGGCTGCTGAATCTTCCCCAGCGCACTCTCACAGCTTCAAAAACACTTGTCTATTCAGCAGATGTTGCTCTTCACTGTGGACTGCATGTTTTTTCCTTGGTAGAGGGTTGGAGCATTAATGGCAAAAATTAGAAACGAAAGCTAAGTATATATTTTTCAGTTCATAAACTAACTGAAATAATTCAACCCTGAGAAGAGACAGCGAAACTGTAAGCTTTGCGCAAAACAAGAATACGTACCAAAATGGAGTCAAAATTGACTGCTACTCAGGAAACCATAATCCTGTTGGTTGATGGTATTGATGGGATTTAGCCGGGCTCAGAAACCCGTATGAAGCAGCAGCTGGGAAAACTGCTGCTGACTGCATATGCGCAGGCAACGGATGAGAGGGGTGGGTTGTCAACAACGGTCGTGCGCTTGCATGATGTGCAGGTGGCGGTATAGCACGTCTGAAATCAAAATTTAAATGTTAAATGAATTGAAAACTAAAAGCTTCAATTTCATTTTCATCTCTCTCTTTTTTTTTGGGCCAGTTTAATAATCAAACACACCCTTCCTAAAGAATTTAGGGGGGAGGGGGGGGGGTAAGTTTTGAGAGGCTTCCTTCTTAAACGCAAACAAAGACATTTGCATAAACACAAACTACGTCAAAAATAAATACTTTTACTAAGATTCTTAGTAAATACTTAGGAAAAGCTACACACCCTGTTGTAAAGGCTGTTGCTGACTGGTGAGGAGGTGGTGGAAGATAGGGCTGAGTTGTGGTTACGTAAACAGGACGGCGATACAATTCACCCTGATGATAGAGAGGTTGTCCTGCCAATGGAGACAAACCCCGTCCTTGAGGAGAAAGATGAGATCCACTGAAATAGAAAGAATACACATATGAGACACATTTACCTTAATCCATAAGTTGGGGCTGGAGGTCATACGGAAGATAAAACAAAGAACTTGAGATACTTCTAGGTCGTAAGACACAAGGAATTACTTCTCTGGAGCGCTATCTTTTGTAAAATGGGTATAATTTTATAATATACAAATCGATTCTAGGATGATCCAAGCCTAATTTTTTATCTACTGCTTGTGGGGAAAACACGGTTTCATGGATTCAGTAATATTTAATAAAATTGAAAACCATTTGTTGCATAAAACTAATTGTTGCAGAACTTTACGATGCAGGAGAAGTTAAAGTGAATACTGAATGTTTGTATCAGTACCTAATACCTTTCAAAAGTCTCATTGCAGAGAAGTTACCGCAACTTTCTTGCAGTGGTTGTTCATTGCCATCAAATAAGAACGTCATCTGGCACCTTATTCAGTCTACCTCATTCCTCAAACTTTTCGATTGTTAACTCCTCATCAATGGCTGAGGAAGAATGGTTTGCCTACCTGCAAACTGACTATTTTACAAGACCAAGAAAATACTTTGCCTATTTTGTGCTTTTGAGCTCCGGTTTGCAATTTTTTTCACACACTACAGCGTCATTTCAGCCCTCTTTTGTGGAATTTGAAAAAACTAAAAATATCAGCTTGCATATTTTATACTTTAGAATGCAGCAAAGAATCCAACTCATTTTGGCCAAAATTGTCGAATGGGCGGTATTAATCCTTAGCCCTTGAGATGAAAAAAAATAATGATTAGAAAGAAAGAAAAAAATTGGAGCATTTCGTATTAATGGAACGAATAAAATACTAATAGAATCATATGTATCTTTGTAAAGTGTGGGAAGGAAGCTAATGAAAAATACCTGTAAGATTGGTGGATAGGGATGGCTTGGGGAGGCCAGGATGGTTTGGTGATGAGATGTTCTCGGCTTGAGTGAGCTGCAGGCGGTTGCATTTGATGATAATCGGAACGGCTTGACTCTCCTCCTCTCTTATGATGTGGTACAGCATATGATAGGCGTTTGTCACTAAAAGTAAAAACGAGAAAGTAAAAAATACAAGTCAATGAATAAATACAGTCATAAAGCAGTAAAGCTAATCAAAATAAATATGTATTCTGAATATCAATTAGGGCTGGTAAATGTGGGTTAATGGCCTCAGATGGAATCAAATAAAAAAAATTTGAATACTGAATCAAACCCAACTGAGTGTTTATACCTATTTTTGTTCAGGACAACCTTTCAGCAACTTAAAGCAAAACTTTTTTAGGTTGTTTTGATTAATATTGGAAATATAAAACTATCGAGCTGCCCATGCAACCCTCAAATCTCTGGCCCTGCCTTGCAGAATCCTACACCTTGGAAGTTCAGCCAACAGGCCTACAGGGAGTAGACTTCACGTTTTCCAAAAAACTTAGCTCTTTTCTACTAAATTTAATCCCTAAAGTCCCTGAAAGTTACACTGTAAAATTCCAAAATCCCATTTTCAATGGGAAATAGAACACTCCTTAGATACTGCAGGTCTCAGGATTCCATTGGAAAGAAAACTAAAAATACTTGCTACGCAATCTAGTTAAATTGAAAACACTTGTTATCTCAAGAAAATGGCTCTGTAAAAGAAAATGATCTGCTCCACAACTGACCCAGTGTACACAATATGCTGATCCTGTGCTGGTGTAACAAAATGATAGGATTCCTTGCAGTTGGGCGCTCCATGACAAACTTGCTGGTATTGAAGCTCTGCAGGGGGGATACTGTGGGGTTCTTGTTTTGTTACGATGTTGTTGTTTAAGCATTCCGATTGAGCTTTGGCGAGAAGCCGCTTCTTTTGAGACTGCGATGCACCAACCGAGGAATAGTTACCACTGTATGAACGACTGGTTGAGCTAAAGAAAAAAATAAAAATTAGTAAGATAAAGACAGAGAAAAGGAACGCTCTAAGACAATAGGAACCTTGTTTTATACATCCCAATCAAACCATTGAAAAGGTTCGTGAACCAAAACTGAGGGGGGATGCTACTTAGCATTGTTTGTGAAGGTTACTGCATCATCAATGTTGCCAAATGCAGGCTTTTGAATTCAGTATGACCTTTGTCTGAGGATCTTTACCCATTGTCTCTTGAACCATTTTAGTAAGGGGCCATTCATAAAACACGTACTGCTAAATTTAATTTTTTTTACCCCTGTCCTTCCTCCCGCTAAAACTTAAATGACACAGTTCCCTATCTTTTAACAAGAAAAAAAGAGGCAGTGAAACACTCTTCTTAACCCCCCAAGTACCCCTAGAGCGTTACATATTTTATGAACAACCTTCAATTGCCCTTTTAGCAAAATTAACACAGATTAGTGTAATTTTCCATGTTGCAAAAAATTATATTTCACAGCCTCTCATTCTTTACACATGAATTCAAATATCGGGGGCTGAGGAGCAATACCCCTTTACTGACAATTTAGGCAAAAATGAGTACGCAACTAGGCAGGATTCTAAAGTATAGATTATGCAAGCTGATATTTTTGGTTTGGTCAACTTTCGCAAAAGAGTACGCTGATTGACGCTATGATATAAAAAAAATTGCAGATCTAACCTCAAAATTACAAAAAAGGAGAATCTTTTTTGTAAGTCTGCAAAATTGTTAGTTTACAAAGATGCCGTATTGTTCCTCAGCCATCAATATATTGGTTGAATGAATATTTCAAATAACTTCTGATGCTACCAATCTATGACAATTTTTGAAGGTTACAGGAAGTTTTTGCAATATGTAATAATATGCTTCTGAATTGATGAAGGCAGCAATTTTTGTCTCATCTCTCTAAATTGATTAACATCTACAGAAAATGCTTTTCATGCATGTCTGTTCAAAAGAGCGTGTCGTGCCCCACTTTTCTAAGTTGAAACAGTGAGAAAAAAAAGGAGGCCATTACTTAAAAATTGTCTCGCTACCCAAGGTATATGTCACATTTGCTGCAATCCATGGATCACAGGATCAGAGATTTTTTGCACCCCTGAATAGAAAATATGCGCAGTTGCTTACTTTATTGGTGGTTCATGTTTTATTTCTCGAACAAGCTGTGGCGGTTGATAATACATCTGAGAAGAGACAACTTCTTGTTTTGGGCTTCGAGTGGCAACAAAAAAACTCTGAAAAATCATCATACAAATATATCAAATTCAAGGATCCATCATGTCAAAATGAAAACCTAAAATGTATAAATGAAAAAACAAACTTTATTCCGTATATCTGAGACTCGATGCTGTAAAATTAAGCGCTTTTCGAATTTTGGAGCGAGCAGTTGGAGCTAGATGCATTCGCAGCTCCAACTGCTCTGTAATTGATTTATTCAAGTATCCTTTAGCTCACGTCTATCACTCAAAAACCATTCACAACTACTCTTAGAATTTTTTCCTGCGTCTTGTGCCATTATACTCTTCTATTGTAACCATGATTCAATGACTTAGACGACTGCCCAAATGAGGGGATTTTATGTGAGGCTCTCAAGATAAAGAATCTATAAAAACATTGATTGGTATTTGGTACAAATTAAAATTGAAATGAGTAAAAAAAAGAGCCTTCCAAGAGACTACAGATATTCAGATTTTGAAAAAAGTGGGAGAGAGTATTCAAGGCAAGAAAACTTTATACAGAATACACATTTTGCTGAAGTAAAGATGAGTTTGTGGGAGGGGATATTAATTTACCGGAAGTTTATTTGAATGATGGTATATGATGGGCGAAGAGTGGGACTGCATGTGATACAAAACTGTTTGTTCCTCCGGATCACTGTCAGGTACAGTTACGCAGGAAATTAAATTGCTATGCCCATTTGTGGCCTGCGTCGTTGTCACTGCAGAGGGATTGCTGTGGATAAAAAAAGAAATGAAATGTAGAGCACGAATGATATGAAGAAATAATTTACATTTGAGTATGATGCTAAAAGATGAAAAGACAAACATGTCGATTACTTTTCAAAATGACCAACGTTTCCTCATTGCAACGACATTAGGTCTGGAATATTTCCTAAGCTTTTCGCAAAAAGTAGCCTTAATTTCTGTCACCAGCAAACAAAATCGGCACTCTTTCAAAACAAGGCTTGCTGTGACATTATTTAAAGAGAAACCCAGGATAGACATTGGGACTTTAACAAGACCGATGAACATCGTCACTAAATCAAAGGTCAAGAGATAAAAGTTTCACTGAAATGCAGAGACATTTTCAACCATAAAGACACTTCTCTAAAATCTGAGGAATCATCAGACCGAATTTTAGCTTGATTCTTTCGGTAGTTTTTCTGCTGAAAATAAGCATAAATCAAGTGGTAGCCAAATATCAGATGAAAAATACATTTTCTACAAAAATTAAGGTTGACCAGCTTAATGTTAGCCTAATGCCTTGAGTTTCATTGTTGCTGTATGTTACATGTAACTGGCTTGTGTGATGGGTAAAGAGGAATAAACAGGCACTTTAAAGACTTTTTTGGAAAGTTGTTTTAGTTTTATTTTTGTCCCTTTTTCCTCAAAAACTTATGATTTTGAAGAAGTTGCTGAATGTTCTTGTTCAACGTTTACAATTTTTTATTTGGCCAGGCAAAATGCTACTTTCAATGATTTTATAGAAGTTTTTTGGCCTGGTAAGATATTTGGTTATTGAATTATATGAAACTGATTCAAGTTAAAAAGAAACAAACCATTTCGGAGGGTTGTCATCATCACTGTCAGAAATAGTTATGACTGATACAGCTGGTGAAGGAGTATCATGAATTGTAATTGTTTGCTGCCGGGAATTCTGAAATAGAAGAGACGCAGTTTTAGATGTCATGAGTATAGCAGTATAACTGGGCATGTTGTAAGCCAAAAATGTTTTAAAATTTACTTTTTTAAGAGAATATTGAACGAATATAAAGTCTTCTCTCCTACCCAATGAAAGGACACAAGGACCCTGGGAATCAATTAGAGAAAAAAATCTGATTGTTCTTCACACCCTTAGTATTTTTGCATTTCTTGTCATTCTGACGCTGACTTAAGCCAATTACTGAATTAGTTTACGCTTAATGAAGCAAAATCGACCATCCTTGGACTTTAATACCAACGGGCTTGACTACACTGCTATTTTTTGTACAACACTGCCCACTGCCCATTTACTCTGAGGAATAAGAATAAGAAGACACAGCATAGCCGAACACAGAGAACTTACGGGAAATTTTTGGACATGTTCCTCCCTTCCTATTTATCGTGCAAGATATGATGAAGCAATTGCTGTCGGATATACTTACTTGAGAATGGGAAACATGATTATTATTTACATTGTTCGCCACCGAGTTGATCGAGTTGTTGTTACTTCCATTAATGTTACTGTTGCTGCCACTGTTGCAATTTGTATTACTGTTATTGTTGTTGCTGCTGTTATTGTTGTTATGATTACTGTAAGAGCTGCTATTGTGATTATGCCAATGGTTATTGTTGGAGTAATTGGGAGAGTGTCGAACAATGCTACGGCCACTTCGAGTTGAACCTGTTTCTAGGACAACATTTGAAAGGGTTGATTAACAAGAGATGAAACTGGAAAGATTCACAAAGGAGTTGCTGAACAATGCATTGAAGGTGAATCGAAGCGTTAGTTCTGAAAAATCCACCAAGTTGCGCTGCTCAAATCTGGCTCTAAAATCAGTGATTACAGTAAAACTTCCATAAAACGAATTTCTGGGGACTGGCGAAAAAGTTTGTTGAATCGGAAACTGCGGAAAACCTGATTCTAGGCCACAAATTTTTTTGAAATGTTCGGTTTTTTCCAGTTTCGTGTACCCCCCCCCCCTTCTTAAACTTTGACGATATATTACGGAAAATCGGCGGGAAACACTCGGTTAGCATTTGATCAGTAAAACTGCGCAGTGGTGATGATGAGCACCCGGCAGGAGTTGAAATCAAGGCCATGGATTAAAATCGTACTGATGGCACTGTTCACGTAGCTCCTTAATTGCCCTGTTTACTTGAGGAAACATGTGCGCCTCAGAAATCCCCTATCCGGCCATATCGGAAAATGACCATTGCACCGATACCGACGTACAATACGCAGGTGAAGACAAGCATGCCTTCTCCCCTGCGGTGTTGCCAGGCGCACGAAAATTCTCGTGCATTTGTTAAATCGAGTTCAATTTGCATGGTAAAGTTTGTACTCGAATCGAAGATTTCCGTCGTAAACTTATAAGATCAACTGAATTTGTAGACAAAACACAAAATAGTGAAAAAACTGAGAGGTCATGATGGGAAAAGTCACTGCCAGTCCCTACAAGTCAAGGTGTGAATGTAAATTAAATAAAAGTCCAAAAAAAAAAATAATAAAAAATAAAAAAAATAAGGAAAAACTTTCAGAGAAATCTAGCGAAATCTTACGCATGCAATTATTGGAGGTCCATCTTTAATAATTAAAAAAAATTACAGTAAATGTTGGATAATCCCAAATCTTCAAAATAAATTAACCATCCTGATCCAGGAGGAGAGCCTTGTGCTCAATTGAATAATAATTAAATCTGCTCACCATTTGGAGGAGTTCCCTCTTTAACACGTTTCTTCAAAGGACTCAACTGTGTGTGGGTTTTATGCGCAACAGTGGGAGCTAGATGATGGTGGGCCTGGGCGATCGTCTGAGCACCTGACATTTTGCTACTTCTTTTGTTCCAGCCAGAATTTGGACTTTCAACCAAGCTTTCATAGACTTCTGTTGCAAAAACTGCAGGACGCTGTTCCTGAAAGGATAGAAAATAACAGTTGAAAAGGCTTTACCGAGTAGGGATTACGTCTATCTACATTGAAGACATGAAAAAGGCTTTAAAGGGGCCTTATGCACCTACTGAGCAGGACCCATGAGCGGAAATGAATATGCTCAAGTCACTTTTCCTGGTCAGGTCCAGTGCTAAAAATCTTTAACAGGTTTAAAGGTGAGTCTAACCAGAAGTGCCTAATTATTTCCAAATTAAACATATGAAATGACATGGAAAATTGCAGCCGTCCCTGGCAAGGATGAAAGAAACTGAGAATAAATTATACTTAAAGTTTGTCAAGTTACTTTCACTGATTCTGTGCTACAGGCTTTTTAATACCTTCTGTTTAACACGTTGACTATTACTTGGAGGTATTTAGTGTACAAAGCATATAGTAGATTTTTCTCTCTTTTTTCCCCATTTCTTTATTGCCGCAGCATTCTGTAGAACAGTTCCTTCCAAATTGCTAACAATTGAGGTACGTCATAATGACGGTTTATTAGTGTGCATAAAATTTTTGAATGTACATATGGATTGCATTTTGCAAGAAGGAACCACTAGTATTGCAATGTTGCTAAGATTGTGCAACTTCTTTTGTCTTGGAGGAAAAACCCGATTATCCAATAATAGTTTCTATTTTACTCGCTAAAAACTGTAAATTTAAGACAAAAATTACCATCTAAATTTCATAGTTTTTCACGATTTCCGCAATTTTATTGCAGAAGATGAAGTTGCACAATCTTAGCATCATTGCAATGCTAGTGGTTCCTTTTTGCAAAAGGCAATCCATATGTACACCGACCACGATTTGGCAGAGGGGTCAATGATGGAAGAATTCATGTATAGCTCTGATTGGCATAAATTTGAGGTTAGGTGGATCTCCTCGGACAATTTCGTTTGAATTTTCTCGGTAAATTGTTGTCCGTGCTACGTTGTACACACACCTAGAACATTGGCATACCTCACTAGCCCAGGGCAAAATGAAATCACATGAAAAAGTCTAGCTCATGATCCAATCTCGACAATCCAAACTATTGTTCAAATGGCTATGAATTAGATGAAAAATGACCAAATACAGACCTGGATTAATGCAGAAGAATCAACGAGCAGAGGACGTGACCAGTCAGTTATATGATCGGAAAGTGGCTGTTGCCACGAGGGCACAAGTGTCATCTGGCGACCTGTTGGCCACGGAGTTTGAACTGCCAGCATTCCTCTGCCACCTGACTCGACAACATACTGCTGACCCTGATCAGAACAAAGTACCTACATTATCATATATACACACATTAATGTTCGGCAGAAATAAAACCGGTTTGGATGAAAAAAAATACCAAAAAAATCACAGTTTAGATTATTGTTTTTGTTTGTTGGTGTGGCAATCTGAAAACAATTTGTACTGGATCAGGAAGAATTAAATTCAAAAAATAAGAGACGTATCAGCATTGAAAATGCTTCAGAACTCTCAAGACCCACTAGATTCTGATTAACTGATAGTTTTGTGCTCAAGCTCCGGTAATTTTTATTTTGAATAAATTTTTCAGCTTTTTGACGATATTCTCTAGAAAATTATGATCCACTTGGGTAATAAAATTGTTAATGAAATCCAACTGACCAATATCAATTGAAAGTAGTGCTCTAAATGCCAGGACTCATTGAATGGTAAAAAATTTAAAACAAACTTCAAACCGTTCTGAATAGTGGAAGACGGAATCAGAGCTGTGAAATTGGATTGTTTTCATACCTTACAGCATTTAGACCAGTTGAAGTTTGAATCACAGACCTGTTGGGAAATGATCGGGGGCTGAATTTGAAGCTGCGGTGGAGGCTGCTGAGAGACAACTGTCACATGTTTGGCTGGTGAGCCCATTGCTTGGTAACCAAGAATTGAAAGTGGATGTTGGAATGGATCTGCCCGGGAGGAGCCACTGTAACCACGTCTGCTGTTGTTATAAAGCTGATACTGAAAATAATAATAATAAAATTATCTACATTAGCAACGATTAACAAATGCGAATGATTACAGATAGTAATGATGTGCAAACAAGAAAGTCTTGCACACACACTTGGCTGGGAAAACGCTAAATCTGATTTCATAATGATTTTAAGTCAGAGTGATTGGAATCTCGAATTTCAGTGGCACCCTCAGGTATAAATGACTGTAATACAGCTTAATTTACAGTAATAAACCGAAAGTAACGAAAACTAAACAAAATTAAACAAACGGGAAATCGAGGTAAAAAAACTGTGAGCTAAATAATTGAAAATAAAGAAAGTTGAAACTAAAAAATTCTAACTCACCAAATTAATGTTAATAGTCAATTTTGTGAGTTTGAGTTTATTGGTTTCAATTTTCTTTATTTTCTTAATTTACAGTGTTTACTGACTTGTAAGGAAAAAATAAGTGACTTTTCCAGATTTTACCAGGCCCAAATGTTCGACCCCGATTGAACAGACTTAGAACAATTTTAGGAAATTTAATAGCACTCATTATTTACCCCCCCCCCCCTTTCGCTCTTGAAGGTCTCCTCATTTTTTCGATATTATTTAACCACCCATTTCTTTCATATACTCCTAGAAAAAAGTTTAAATTCATTATTCAGCGTCATTTAAAATTTCATTGATTCCAAGCGTCCTCCAACCTTCAATAGCACTCGAACTTGCTATTTTGAGAGGAGCGGGCATCAATTTGCCACTCTTTTGTTTTCGCGAAGCGAAGCGCGGAAAACACCGACCAACCACGTTGCACGCCTGCGGTAACTCATTAATTATTCCACCTTTTGCACACCGCAGCCTGCCTTCCAGATTTGCACGTCTTGAAAGGCAAAAGCGTCCTTTACCTTCACTTAGATTAAAAGTGCCCTTCCTAACCATTAAATCACTCACCTTGAATGCCCTTTACATATTCCTAACCTTTCCTTCATAGTTGCTCTCAAATTTATACTCATTATCTCCATATTTCTTCACAACCATGAGTCCCATTCATATGCAAATTTTCCATGTTTTCACTCATTTTAGCTTCTTCTCACTGATGTACCCCCAAAACCTATATATATTCTGAAAGCACTCGTCAAGTCTGACCAGCTCAAATTATCATCAACCAATAGAGTTTAAATCTTAACATCCAACTCCAACTTTGATAGTCCACGGCAAGCACGGATCCGCTCCCCCCCCGGAGCCCCTCTTCTAGCGGCGGTCCCCGCTCTGTTCCTTTTGGCTCTTGCGCGGCGCTCAAAACGTCAGCGACTCGCTCCTTAAAATTACTTGTATCCAGCACGCTGAAGAAGACGGACCTAACCACAGAAGCAGCTCTCTCTCGGACCCAAGAAGCCCTGCCTGACGTTCCTGCCAAGTTGGACGCTGCATAAGGATAAGGACCCTGGCTCTCTACCATAGGACAAGGACATCTTCCCGCAGTTAAAGTCCCGTCAACCGACGGCCCACACTACGGAAGCAGTTCTCTCACGTACCCAAGAAGCCCTGCCTGACTTTCTCGCCAAGTTGGACTCTGTACACAAGGACAAGGATTCTGGCTCTCTACCGTTGGGGAAAGGACATCTTTCCGCTGTTTTCAAGTCTTGTCAATCAACGATCCTTGCGAAACGAAGCATTTATATGGATTCTGCTTGATCTACGAAGAAGTCTGATGTAATCTCATCCCAGCTTTCTAAGTGCAGACGGCCTGTCTCAATTATTTGCAGCAAGTGATGAAAGGTATGCCCCAAGCGCTGCCTCATCACACTCCATACTAATATTTTTCTCCTTTTCAGGTATAAACCACTAACCTTCACCACAGGCGTATGGCCTGTCTTGCTTTTGGGCTATCCCAAAAAGAAATCTCCACTTATTGCATGTTTCATTCTCTAGTCAAATAGTGAAGGTTTTATGCAATCAGTTGACATGCTTTATTACGCACCTTCTGTGCTCATTAAAAACGTATTTTGCACTACCTTCATTAATTATTCCAAATTGTCATTTCCCCCGCCTTAACCTAGCCTTTCAAGCTAAAATTTCAAGCTCCATCAATTTAGTGGCATGCTTTAATGCAAATCTTCCATTTGCATTAGAACGTTGTTTTCTTTCCCTCTTTTGGCCAATCATTCATTTTAGTCATTTTCACCTCCTAACTATTTTCTTTGAATTTTTGGTTTGCTTCTTTTCCCTTAAAATAAGCTGGTCCCTCGGTTTTATTATATCCCCCCCCCCATCCTTTTCTGTTCGGTCCTTTACCTTTTCTCAAATCCAATTTTTCTCCTCCTCACCTTTTTTTTCTAAGTTTTTCCGTTTTATATCGCTCATAAAATGATAGAAAAAATTCCCGACTTTTCCTGCTATCTAGAGTGCTCACCTCAACGTTCATTACTCATTGTTTGCCAAATTTCATGCTAAAAAAGTTGATTTTCGATCATTAGACGATGACTTCTGATGATAACTTTTACCTCACCCAATTACACTGCTTAGATTGTAAAAGAAGTGTCTCTGAAATACTTTGTCTCTAAATGCTAACAGAGGATGTGACAAAGTTGGATCAATCTTTGACCTTTGAAGTTTGAAATCTGACCTTGAATGTTAAGGAGCTAATTTTGGCTACGACCATAACTTACTTAATTATTTAAGCACCAATAAGAATTATTTGAGCCCACTTTGTGCATGACGCCTGTCCGATTCGAACACTGGTGATTTGCTATATTAAGCAGCAATATCAGAAAAAAGGATACTAATTATTTGGCTGATTTCCTTTGAAGTAAAATGACTTTTGAGTTAAATTAAATTATTTTCATTGATTCATGTGCACATACCAGGTTGTCAAACCCTGTGACCGGAGGCGGAGGGCGAGCGATGCGCTGTACTTGATTAGTGAGTTGGTTATTGAATGTAAGGGTGACATTCCCATTGGTGGATGGTACTAAATTCGCAACAACTTGAGGTGGCGTTTGGTGAGAAGATGAAGAGTTTGATCTGCGACAGACTTCCATCATCTGCACACTCGCTTTCACATTGTTGCAGTGCGCATAGTCAACAAGATGGGCTAGAGTAACGAATGGATGATTCAGTGCTTCTCCTGGCGTGATGCGGCGTTCCTGGTGATCCGAAACAAGATAATTCTCCGGTTAAAAAAGATACAGGGAATTGATTGGCAATTCATATTTTATTTATGAGAGCTTTCAAAACAATATACTTCAAAAAAAAAAAAAAAACAAAGACAAAAAAAAAACCTGAGGAAAAAATAGGAACAAAAAGGATTACACAAATACTTGTTGTTTCTTACTTCTATTAGAGTGCTGGCACTTGAGATTGATAGAAAATTCTTCAGATTTCTGTTTAAGAAAATTTTTAACGAGAATTCAATTTACAACAAAAAAATTAGCATACTTCCAACTCATTAACATTTGATGTTAGCATATAGCATAATAGATAGATAAGGAGTTCTTTTTTTTTTCTCCAGAAGACCCATTCAATTATGAGCTAATTGTGCAAAGTTTTAATGAGTGCCTTTGATTGACTAAAATTTTGGAGCTAAGAAAAATCTTTTGATCTGAACTTCCTGTCATTTGATCAGATCCTGGACAAGACAAAACTGTAGAGTAAATGTCTCCAGCTGACAGATATTAAAAAACCAAAAATTAGATAAATCTGGACGAAAAAAGAGGGTTGCCAGTATAAAGTGCTCAGAATGAAACTTGTACTTCCGCTTTCAATTAACCTAAAATAGAATGGGTTTAAAGTTTGAAATTGGTCACAAGGCTTATGAAATTTCACCAAGAAAACTTGGAGATTAGTTAAGTAAAACTTTCAATACAAAATTTAAAAAAAAAAAGGGTTATGTATTGCCACCTGGTCCATGGTCAACATTCGTTTGAGTAAGTCGATAAACTCTCGTCTATCAGCTTTCTCAGCTAGTAGCTCGCCACCCTCCAAGTCAGCAGGCACATTTACTTGTCCGATGTCATCCAAGCAGTTGAAAATGTACTTCCGGGCTTCCTTCGTCTTGATTGCTGTTTCAGATTCGTACTCCTCTGGTGTCTATAATAGGAAAAATATGCCAAATTAATTTGGGACTGAAGTGAAACAAGATCAGGGAAGAAATGCTTTGCAGTAAAATTGTCTGCCCTTTTCCGGTGGGCATTGGCAAAAAAGCTGAAAGACGTGTCTAATGGATTTTCAGGAACTACAATTTGGCCCAACGCTGATCGATTTTGAGGAGGCATGAGTGTAAGGTCCCCTAGTAAGCTGTGAATCTTCCCTCATCCTAGCAGTTTTCCAGTCCCATCAATTTCTCTGTAGTGTTGTCTCCCTGTACAACAACAAATACTGTCAGCAATGAATTCTCTACCATTATTCTCCAAAAATACAGTTGAGCAGCGCACTTTACACACAACACTACTATGGAAATCATGATGATAAAGTTCATGAGATGGCAGGTTTTAAACTTACGAAGGATAGATCACTGTGGCGTCATCAGTAAAAAGAAAAATATTACCTGTTAAAATTAATGGGAGTTTGATGGAAAATTAATTGAAATAAGCGACAGTCTCAGGTCTCATAGCGTTTGAACACCACTTCAAATTTCTTTAGCACACATTTAACATACTCACTTTGAGCCTCCAAAATGGATACGTGCTGTCCATATCTCGATAGAAGAACTTTGTGGTTTTTGATGCATTGTTGAGCATATGTTCGGTAGGCAGTCCCTGAGTTTGGCTGATGTAGCGAATTTGGTCATACTCAGAGGAACCAGGATAAAGGGGCCAACCTAAAAACAACTCTGCAACAACACAGCCTAACGACCACATATCGATTGCTTCACAAAACGGCAGCCCTGAAAACAATACCAGATAAATACATATTCAAAATTTTAAGAACTAAGAGTTTCAGATTTAATGCTATATCAGTGTAAAAGAGAAGAAACATTCCCACTTTAACATGTTGAGAAAAGTTGGATCTGTTCAGGTCAGTGCAAGGTTAAAGTTTTCTTTACAATATTCAATTTTAAGAATGTTAGCTCTTCTGTGGCTAACTTATTTTGAATCACTTGACAGATTAGTTCCCAGTATCTTACTTTACATACTTTAACCACTCTTTTAGGTCGTAATTAAGATTATCAATTTAAGAAAATGTGTACCAAATACTAGGGCTGTGTGAATGTGGTTTTTTTGATGTCGAATCGAATCAAATTGAATATTTTGAAAAGGTTTCGAATTCGAATCGAATCGTTTTAGTTTTTATCTATTTTTGACCTAATTAAGTATGAGTGTAGTCTGGATTTCATGCGAGTATGGGTTATGGAAGTTAAAGCTAAAAACAAAAATTAGACGTTAGTCAATTTCTAAGTTACCTTATTTGTAAAGAAAAGTTAATTTACACCTAGTAGGTGGTTGTAACATGTATTTGAAGAATAAAAAAAAAAAAAAAAAAAAAAAAAAAAAATCTATTTTTGACCAAAACCAACCTCTGTGTTAGTCGAAGTAAAAATCGAATAAATAATATTTTTTCTTTCTAAAATTCAAATTTTGAATAAAGAAATTACTATTATAGATAAAAAGATCAAGAATTAATCAATTTATTTAATTATCAAATGGTTTTGCATACATTTTGATTTGCTGGGGAAAGAACAGAAGGGAGAGAAAATTGTTTCCTATAATTAAGAACAAGCAATTGATTGAACTGTCGCGGAACAGTAAAACTGCTGCTTACTGTCTGAAAATCCATTTTATTCTGTTCAACTGCACATTATTGCTGATCTTGCAAAGATAGTCCAGCAACATTGTAAAGACTCAACTCTCAAGAACTCAAGTGGCGCGAATTTTGAATTGACCCGTCTAATTATGCGAGTCTGCGAGTGCCGTGCGCTGAATGAACCAATAAAACATTGGCCTTTGTTTACCTAACCTCAAAACTAGTAGTTTGAACTGGGCGCCTGTTCGAGTTCTTTCTAGTACGTCATCAATATGGCCGAATGTACGAGTATTCGGTCTTTTTTTTTGGATATTCAAAGTTTTGTCAATGTTCTCGAATAATTCGAGTATTCGAGGTTTCTAAGTTCTAGTTTGAATCGAATATCGGAAAAATGATTCGAACTCGAATATTCGAGATTTTTGAATATTCGCACAGCCCTACCAAATACTGAGAACTAACCTTGAAAGTACCTCAAAGTAAGTTAGTCATTGAAAAGCCACAGCCGAAAAATGGGAAATTGATCATTGTGCACATTCCCATATGGAGTGTGCCTCCTTTGAAGCCTGGGGAAAGAAATTGGTTAAGTAATCTTACCAAGGATAATTTCAGGTGCTCTGTAGTAACGGCTTTGTAAGTAAGTATTGCAAACAGCTTTACTTATATGAGAGGCACTACCGAAGTCTATCACTTTCACCCGATACGGTTGGCGCACAGGGTCAACTAACATTATGTTTTCCGGTTTCAAGTCAGCATGGATGAATCCCAGTTGCTAGATGAAAAAGAAGAAGAAAAAATATATTCTACTTCAAACTGAAAAGGAGGAGAAAAGTAAAACAGAAAAGAAGCAAAAAAAAATGCAGATAGATTTGCAGAGCGATTTAGCTTATTTCAGCAGTTTCCTAACATGCCTTCGTTGAACCAATATGTACGGTCAAAATTTCTCTTTGCTACGGAGATTTTTCTTAGATGCATAAAAAAATAAAACCCTCCTGAATTTTCAGGATCGAGTAATTTTTCATTTTTCTACTTTGCCCTGTTAGGATACAACAATTTTGGGAATGATTAAGTTGGTAGTCTTTCAGCTGTATGATACAACTTTTCTGATTAAATTATCATGCAAAATGAAGATTAGAGAGGTCAAAAACTCAGTGCATCTAAAATCATTTCACATGATGGTGCATAGTTTGAAGAGCTGGCAATGAAATGTAGAGAGAAAAACAACTTAAAATTCGAAACTCCATGTAGCAAGAAAATCACTGCAGAAGAGCAAATTTTCAACCAAATGAGCTCAATGAGGGCTCTTTAGAAAGCTAATAAATTGAGCTACAAGTTGCATTTTAAACTATAGTCCAATGTCTTCAAACATTTTCTCAAAACAGGCTAGCTTTCAGTTTTCTTGAGACAGCTCAATTTGCAGTTTAATAATTTAAAAATGGTTCATTCACAGTGATGGATTTTTTAAGCAGCAATATATCGATAGTGAAACACCCAAACCACTTATCTCAGTTTGCAGCATTGCAAACTTCCTGTCCTGCTTAATTTTTTTAATGTACATGTAAAACTACTCAATGTCAACTCTTGAGATCTGCAGTAGTTTTTCTCCTGTGTGTAAAGAATATTCAATGAAACTTTAAAGAAATAATGTAGAGTCAAATTTCTTTAAAAATTAAAAAGAAAGCAGAGATTTCTAAACACCAGAAACGAGATGCGAGGTTTGGGAGTTTCACTGTAGGTATGCACAAGACAAGTACCCCAGGTGTAACAGTGTCTATCATCATCTCAGGTAATGCTCAAAATTTTCGTTTCCAAGATAAAAACAAAAATGACCCTATACTCAAAGAAATCTGAAATAATTAATTGAGACATGAATTTCAACATCTTTCACCAAAGGCCTTAGATGGAATTTTCTGTTTTGTGGTTAGATAAAACGAAACAAGTGATGAAATGTTGATGGAGATGGAATGGCATAGAATGGTCAGAATGAGTCAGTTAAGCTCGGGAGGGATTTGCCTGCAGTTAGTCGTATCTTACAATTTTCGGTACGAGAAGAATGATGCGCATGATAAAATTTCACAAAAAATTATCTCTGCGGAGATATGACGCTTCCTTTATAGGGGTCCTTGAAAACGTGTTACGCTTTCCGCCGCCACATTGATCGTGACGTGTACATGCGGAACCGACTACCACGCAGTTCAAACGCTGTTTTAGGCCACCCTAATTTTTGGCACTTTCAAATAAACTTTCCTCCCGTTTGCAGTCATCAAAAAAATTTGGGAAAAAACTGTGAGCGTCGGTCACTTACTACTTTCGAATGACACAATAAAAAAAAATGACTTAACTGACTCATTCTACACTAAAAGCTCATGAGAAAGGATAACTCAATTACCTTCAGTTTCAGCAAAGCAGTCAATACTTGTTGCAAAATTGGTCGAATGTATTTGAGAGGACTGTATTTCTTCTGCTTGAGGAAGTCGTAGAGGTTTTGCTCGAGCATTTCAAACACAAGACACGTGTGGTTCTTGTGTTGGAAACACTCGTAGGCCCGAACAAAATTGAATTCATCTGCATTTTCCTTGCTAAGCTGGGACAATATGCTTACCTGATCAGGAAAAACAGAAAAAATGTGAGTCAGAGGTTAAAAACTTCTTAGGTAAAAGGATTTATGCTGCCAATCATAGTTTCGAGAAAATCGCATTTAAATGGACGTATTTCTATCAAACGGAACTATGTGCATCAAGGCATGAGCCCTGAGACTCTTGAGAATATATGCGTAGCAGGGCTCATGTCATAATGCACATAGTTCCGTTTGACAGAAATGCGTCCAAATATGAAAAAGCATGCTCTTTCATAGGAAGCTAATCTGTCACTGTGATCTGTAATCTGTGAGTTCTGAACAAGTGTCTACAAATTTTTCATTTGTACAGACTATTCTCCAGTCAAGATGCACCATTACAAAGGGAAAAGAAAATATTTTGCTTCCTACAAACATCTTTCCAGTCTCTAAAATTCTTGAATGATTAGCAATCAGCAAGTCTCATGCTGTACTTGAGCAGGTCAGTCATGAGACACACTTGAGGTTACAGATAAACTCACAGACATAATCATGAGTACAGCGAAGAAAATTTTGCCACGGGGGAAAGGAGGGGGGGGGGCCTCGAAGATTGTTCTTTTCACTACTAATAGACACTTAGCTTTAATGATCATACATTCAAATTTAAGATTGGAATGCTTCTTAATTACCTAAAAATGATGGTGGGGACTGTACATACAGTAAAACTTCGATATAACGAATTTCTGGGAACTGGCGAAAAAATTCGTTAGATCGAAAACCGCGGAAAACCCGATTTTAAGCCACAAATTTTTTTGAGATGTTCGGTTTTTTCCAGTTTTGTGTATACCTCCCCCCCCCCTCTTCAACTTTGACGATATGTTACGGAAAATCGGCGAGGAACACCCAGTTAGCACTTAATCAGTAAAACTGCGCAGCGGTAGTGAAAATTGGGGTTGAAATTGTACTGATAACATTGTTCACGTAGCTCCTTAATCACCCCGCTTAGTCCAGGAAACATGTGCGCCTCGGAAATTCCCAATCCCGCGGTATCGGAAAATGACTTTTGCACAAACACCGACGTACAATACGCGGGTGAAGACAAGCATGCTTTCTCCCCCGCAGTGTTGCCGGGCGCGCGAAAATTTCCGTGCATACTTAAATCGAGTTCGATTTACATGGTAAAGTTCGTACTCGGACCAAAGATTTCCTTCGTAAAAGCGAATATACGTTATACCGAAATTCATTATATAGAATTTATTTTACATCGAAAAGATAGGGATTTTTTCAGGACCGCGAAAGAAATTCGTTAATTTGAAGAATTCGTTATATCAAAGTTTTACTGTATTAGTGAATTTAGAGTACAACATTTTGAGAGAGCCAAGTTTAAAGAGGTTTGGTATAATACCGTAGCCACAAATAAAAATAATTGATTTCCAGACTTTGGAGAGCTGTAGCTTTAAGTAGCGCTTCAAATATTTTCTTCATAGAAAACTTTAATGGAGGAGGAAAAAATATACTGTTCGAGCCACTAGATTTTCCTCTTGCAATCTGGAGGTTTGACCCTAGAACCTCTTATAAAAACTCTTTGTCAAAAGAAAAGAGTTGTACAGAGATACTTACCTCAATCTGTCCCTGCCTTGCATAAGAAGGATGGTTCTTCAAAATTTTGATCGCGACAATTTCGTTCGTTCCTTTTTTCCAACATTTTACAACCTGAAATATGAAAATAAAGCTTAATTAAATCTTATAAAACATAACAAACAGGCAAAAAGAGTTTGGTAAAAAGCCAAATCTGGTAAATGGATCTCTGGACATGCTATGAACTAAAGCAGGATGTAACATATTCTCTTCAAAAGTTTACGGGGAAAGTTAACCACACGACAGGAATTCTGGAAATCAACTCCTAAACAAGATATTTGAGTTTAAAATTAACATTGGTTTCATGGAAAAAATACATGTGACATCATTTGGATAATCTAACTTCCAGTAAACCTGTGTTAAAAATATTTGTTAATATAACGTTCGGGACCTGAGATCCAAATTTTCCCGTTGCATGAATCATCTTCTACGTAAAACTTTGAAGAGAAAACATGTGGATTTCACTTGTGGTTAAGACCTTGTCTAGTGGCCCATTGAGCTTTCACTCTTAACGCAACGAGGAAGACGAGTCTTAAAAAAAACCCAGAAAACGAACGATGCCAACTACATGCGCAGAATTTGTATATTAATAAATGGAGTGATAACAAGCAGTATAATTACAGAAAGCCTCTCTGATCCTCTTATTCCATGTAGCTCTCAAAGCAAGAAAGACTCAAGTCGAAGCTCAGGGTATTCCGAGGATAGGTTTGTAGGAGTCTCCCAGCAGAGGAAAATTAGGAACACTTTCATTGCATATATGTACTGAGGCAACAGGGTGCACTGCGCTTTACAGATTCAACATAAATTGAATTCAGTGCATTGATGGGGGAGTTGTAAAATGATTTTCAATGATTTACCTGTCCAAAAGTGCCCCTGCCTAAGAATTCTAACACTTCATACTGGTTGGTCATAGAGTATAACACTTCGTGCTGGACAAGTTGGTAATCGCCGTCCGCTCCGGCAGAGTTGGTTGTCTGAGCGGCGGCACCTGCTCCCTTGCTGTGCGTCGTCGTTGTAGAACTTGGCCCAGTGCGATCTCCACCATTACCGTTTTCACAAGATTTTCGCTGAAATAAAAAAAAAAAAGTCACTCAACAATTTTGATAAAGTAAAATGAACAGAATGAGCTACCTTGAGTTTATTTGAGTCGACAGGATGACAGTGAGCATGACTTCATTTTTGTTAGTGTCACACTTTCTACAAATCTTCAAACTAAGTAACATACTATAATTCAATTATGTATATTAATATAGAACAAATAGTGATTAAAATAAAAAAAGTGGAAACAAATATTAATCAGCGGTAAAACTACCAATATTCATGTCTTAATTGATGTAAGGAATGACTTATTTGATTCTATGTATATTTTATTAAAATTTTAAGTTAAGTCAAACAAATAATTTTCAAAAATATGATTAAATTTAGTAGTTCAAATTTTAATGAAGAATAAAAACTTATAATTAAATTTACAATTTAATCCTTCGATCAGGCCTCTTCATTTATTAAGATTAGCAAGTTAGTCAATTCTAAAATTGCATTTTAGTGTTATTATTTTACTATTAATAAAGTATGAAAGTTTGAGCTTTTTCAACTGATCACAAAGATACTGGTGTTTTATATTTTGTTTTTGGTGTTTGGAGAGGATTAATTGGAACTTCTTTTAGAAAAATCATTCGTTCTGAGCTCATTGACATTGGGTCTTTTTCGGATCATTTGAATCTTTTGTTCCTTTGTTTCACCCATCATTATTTAATAAAATTCAAGGAGTTTCTTTGCCTCAAAAATCATGTGTTTTCCAAATACATGAAAATGGGGAAAAAAATTCAAGGATACATGGACTTTCCAAGGTTGCACAAACCCTGCTGATTGCGGCAATCCTGCTGTATGGAGGCTAAGGCTGGTTGTTTTCTTGACAGGTTGCTAAAACAAGAAATTTGTGAGGTGTAGGAAAAAAAAAATTGATATGTTAACTTACCTTTTGTCCGCAGCGCTGGTAAGTATCAAGGAGTTTTATTGTTGAGGCTCGAATGTAATTCTGAGGGACATTGTTGAGAGAAATAACGGCAGAGCTGCAACTGGGGCTCGTCTTGATGACGTGATGGACATTGCTGTTGGAAGAGCGATGGTGTTGCGAGCGGTAATCGCTCACAGTCGCGTAGTTGACATTGGTCGTGGAGGATACATCTGAAGAGCTCAGCTGATGATGGTGGTGGTGGTGGTTCCCGTGGTCTAACTTACGCTTCTTATGATGGATGACGCTCGATGATTCACTGCTGTGGCTATCGACACTGTGATGCGTAATGACCTGAGGTTGGGTGAACATGTCACGTGATCCCTGCGATCAATCAAAATATAATTCTTGATATTAAACAACATTGATGAAATTCATAGTAACAACGTTACCAAAGAGATTTCTGAATTCTGTTAGCACTTTTTTGTGACATTTATTCATCATTATTTCATTTAGTGTCTCGATATGCGTTGAGAGATGTGACTAAAGAGATCCCTAATAGTTTCTTGTCCAGTGTTCCAAGTCAAGGTCAGAAGATTCAAAAATTTAAAGTAATGTAAAGGTATAAAATCAAGAGTTGCTTCTGCAATAGAGTACACTGCATACTTCATCCCTCTTGCAACTTCCTTCTACTAAATGCTGTCAATATTTGAATATCGATTAATGCAATATGTGACAAGAGTTAGCAAATGATTTCTTCGATCCTAAATTTTGCTACCTGAGTATCTAGACACTCAGAACTTCCTTGATGCCATTCATTTTAGGATTATTACATAGTCATCTTAACTCCTAGACAAAATAAATAATTTTGAAATTGTAAGCATGGTGGGGGGCGTTGTTGTGTGCTCATGTGAGCAAAGTTATTAAGCATGCCTAGGAGTATTTAATCTAGATTGAATTTCATTCTTTTTCATCTTGTTTTTTTCCTTATTCCTTAAGAATTCCATTTGCTTAATTGGCCCTACTACTCCTTTATAACTAAGTATCTGGGATTCTTCCTTTCTGTGCGACCATTCACATGATTTTATGTTCAATGGCAGGCAGGTACCAATTGCATTGACTTTTAATTTTCCTCATCTCATCCTAAAAAAAGATACCGCAAAAAGTACAAAGAAAAGAAAACAAGATGAGGGAACAATCATAGCTAGTTTCATCTTGTTCAGCCATCAGACTTGAGACTAAACACACCTTTGTATTACCGGTAAACATCATCACTCAACTAAAAAAAGCTTGGAGCAGATACCCTCACTTAAAGTGCCTGACAGAGCAAAATTGCTTAGAACATGCGCTCATAAGATCATGTTGGCACCAGATAAGAGAGAGCAAACAATTCAAAGCCAAATTGCAGATAAAGCAATACTTCCAAAGCAGATAGATATATCTGTTTTGCCAGAAAGGCAATAAGTAAGTACGTTCATTGAACAGCAATAATTCTCACTTGATGTAATAAAACAGTTAGGGACTATTTAGTAACTATGATAAAATAAGAGAAGCTTTATGAGCAGAGCTCATAGGCAACTACAGGGTAATTCTTAATTTACCTGGACTGAAAAGCGCCTGAATTAAAATAAAAAAAAGGCACTAAAATTAAGAATTAGAAACATCATGGAAATTCCCCAAGCCAGGAAAGTTAACCTTTGACCATTGTGGCAGACTTTCCTAAGGAGTAAAAGGAATTCTGAGAATTTGCTGCGATTGAATCTGTTTTCAGAACTTACAAGGGGAGCTTTCCAAGTGTAACCGGAATTTCGAGTTGGAATTTTGCATGAAGATACTAGAGATGATTTTAGGGATGCCGTATTTTTTCGTTTTTTCGAATGGGGTCGGGAAAGCCCTCAAAAAAAGGGCTAAAGATGCGGAAAAAACGCGTGCGCTAGCGGCACAAGGTAAACATAGGTGATAGAGGCTCTCCATCCTTATCAGTTCCGCATGGCCAAACGGTAGCGTGCTCGCCTCGCAGGCGGGAGGTCGTAGGTTCGGATCCTGACTACAGCTCGTAATTTTATTTTACTTTAATCTTGTTTATTTTTCACTTACTTTACTTTGCACCATTCTCTCCGCAAACCGACTTACGAGGTAGAACACGTAGTGACTGAAGATTTTTACATACCTATGCTGATAAAAACTTGAAGTTTCTCTTGGATTGAAACGTTATATATAATTGAATAAACAAAAACTCTAAAACTCACCAAATTTCGTCGATAAGCTGAATTTCCGGAGTATCAGTCAGATACAGATACAGATTCGACTGATACTTCGAAAATTCAGCTTGGCGACGAAATTTGGTGAGTTTTAGAGTTTTTGTTTATTCAATTATATATAACGTTTCAATCCAAGAGAAACTTCAAGTTTTTATCAGCATAGGTATGTAAAAATCTTCAGTCACTACGTGTTCTACCTCGTAAGTCGGTTTGCGGAGAGAATGGTGCAAAGTAAAGTAAGTGAAAAATAAACAAGATTAAAGTAAAATAAAATTACGAGCTGTAGTCAGGATCCGAACCTACGACCTCCCGCCTGCGAGGCGAGCACGCTACCGTTTGGCCATGCGGAACTGATAAGGATGGAGAGCCTCTATCACCTACATTTACCTTGTGCCGCTAGCGCACGCGTTTTTCCCGCATCTTTAGTCCTTTTTTTGAGGACTTTCCCGACCCCATTCGAAAAAACGAAAAAATACGGCATCCCTGAAATCATCTCTAGTATCTTCATGCAAAATTTCAACTCGAAATTCCGGTTACACTTGGGAAGCTCCCCTTGTTAGTATGAAATGTGATGAAAAATTGTAGATACTGGTCAATTTACAGCACCAAAAAAAACTTTGATTGTGATTGAGGGTTGAGTAACGGTGATACTAAATTAATATAAAATTAGATAGTTTTGCTGATTTGAGTAGTTCTGTATCTGAAGTCGGCAATGCCATATCAAAGCAGAACCTATAAGATCTAAACCTTTGAATGGGAGCTGTGCAGTTCATCTGAGTTCTCCTCCAGCCCAATGCAATATATTAATGTCATGACTAGGACAGAGAGATGCATAGAGTAATAGACACTTACAATGCTTCGGTCATTTTTAGAGTATGGTTAATACATCAAGATCAAAATTCAAGTGTGTAGCTATGTTGAAATACTGTACTTTTTTGAAGGTTTTACAGGTCATTGCTTCAGCAGTGAGATTTCTCACTGAGAAGAAAGTTTATTTAGGAAAAATAAGGAAACATTTTTTTTTTTTAAATTTTTAGGAGGTTTTTTTGTTTGTTTAGGTAAGTACGTTGTTTATACCTATGGTCTGTTTTATGGATTTAAGTAAAGTTGAATACTTAAATTGAATTTATATTTGAAATTTTCCTAGGTTAAGGCAACACTCTGCATTATGAAACAAAAAAAAATTGCAATCAAAGACTGCATCGCAAATCTGAGGCTGACGATAAGCAAACTCTTAAGAGAGAAAGCTTACGCATAAGATGGGTTGTAAAAGTTGAAAAAGACTGAAGGCAATAAGAAAGAAAGATAATGGATAGAAAGGAGCAAGGATACAATGGAGTGGCGAAAAGTTGTTTTGGAGGTCAAAAGTCACTGGAACTGCAATGCTACTAAAGATGATTTAAATTTTCAGCAAAACTCTGAAGCTAGCGTTGAGGAAACTTGGGAAAGACATTGAAGAGCTCTTGCTATCAGTTGATGAAGATCATTGGGGACAGCTGTGCAACATTTTTTGTAAAAAATTCTCATAACCACCTCCTCACACTTTCAGGAAGGCTGACATGGGAAATGTCATTAGAATCATTTTTTCACAAGCAGATCTCCTGGACTACCACCTACTTGTTGGATTTGTCATGGTCAATACCTCGGTAACTACTCTGACCCAAATCCCAAATGGACATGAACGCTTCTGTACCTCCTCGCAGTTGGTCTCGCTAATTATAGGACATTCACAGCAAAACCACCATTCTAAGAACCTCATAGTAAAACAGATTGCCAGTCCTCTGGTGTCTGACACAACTGTTCGTTAACACCTCGCTTTGCTACTGAACTGCTCACAGGAGGACAGCCTTTGATTCTCTCTGATTCCAAAAATAAGAAAGGGTACACATGGACAAGGAGGATTCCATAGTGCCGTTAACGCCATTCCCAGTTTTGTTTTCAGGATAAGAAACCATGACCCGGTAGGATGAATGAGGGTTTGTAGGAAACATACGTGGACTTCACTGCTTTCGTAAGAAGAAAGTGTGAAGAGAGGGGCGCAAATTAAACTGAGTGTAAGATTCTAATCTGTAGTGACACTAATTCCACGCATTACAGGAATTTTGAAGAAATAAGATGCTTGACACACCAATGATGCGGCAAAGCTTTCACTTAATTTACTACCATACATGTTTCTGCTAGCTGAGAGGCAACATCCAGTTTTCTGACAATAATATAATAGGACAGCGAAACATTACAGCAATTCAATGAATGCAAAGGTAGCACATCAGAACTGACAGCTCCACCGTGTAAAACAACACCAATGACCTGTAATATGGCTGACCAAAGAGAATAAACCTATCGAGTAGCTACTCAAATATGTTCAGAGATAGGGAAAGAAACCATAATAGTGCTGGGTCTAAAAATACATCTGCTGTCAACTGCTTGAACCTGATCTACCACAGAAAAGGATAGCATAGCTATTAAAGGCAAAAAAAAAAAATTATTTTGCTTTTCTGAGAAAACTGTATAGTCACCAAAGTGGAAGCATGAATAGGAATCTGAATAATTAAGTGAGGTATCAAAAACAACATAGAAAGTAAGAGACCAAGATCACTTAGTACCACTTGGATGGATGGGAATTAATGAAATGATGAATTGAACAGCTAGAGACTGGTGAGAGGCATCTAATAAAGTAGATAGGCACTGGATTACCATGAGAAGCAATTCCAATAGAGACCTTCAGATAACTTTTGGTTTTTAGAGAAAAGCCAATCACTGAACATATGGAAATCATACAAGGTAATGGAACAGAGGAGCTTATTGTTGCATAAAAACTCATTCAAGGAGGGTTCGTTTCTGATGAACTAGATGACAATGCAGTAATAATGGGAAAGAGAGAAATAAGATATAGAAATGACGATTCGACTTTCGGTTCGCAGCGTTATCATATTTGCTTCGTAAGTGATAGTACTTCAAAACTCGTTAGCATACGAAAATCGTAGATACGTCAGAGCGACCTCGATTAACTTCGCAAATGACTCATCAGCACTTTAGCAGAGGGAAAAACACATCAATAGGGTTCGATATGGAATTATCAAAAAGAAAATATATGAAAAATGAATACCTCTCACACTCTCGACTTGTGAAAGAGACCTCAACTTTCATGCTGATTTCAAAAACTCGGAAAGCACTTGCAGCGAAGTCCAGCCATATTGAAACATGAACTACCGACGAGGAGCATTGTAAGTTGAAAAAGCACTTCTGGTCTAAGCAAAAAGGAGAGATTACAACGAAAACATTACGAATAAACACGGCACCTGAAATGATACTGGGTAATCATTGCAAGTACCCAACTGTCACAAACTCCGTAGTTTCACTTCATTGTAGGGTGGTAAGTAGATTAGAAATGTTGAAAAGATCGAAGCCGAAGCACTGGCATTACGCTACAAAAGGATATCTCTCCAACTGCGCGCAAGGTTGATTGAAGGAGGTTAGAGCATCTGCCATTTTGGACGCCATGTTGATGACGAGTTTCAGAGACTGAAACGGAGGATACTGGAGAAGGCAAGGAGAAGGAAATGATTGATTGTTGACATATTGTTGAGGGAAGTAGGTAAGGGAAGTTGACAGAGAGTATATATGAATGGTGAATGTACGGTATGTGAAGTTGGAGAACGGGTAGCTTTTTTCGGGTAGCCTTCCAGGCTCCAGGCTACTTGATAAAAAAAAAAAAATAAAAAAAAAAAGAGAGAGAGAGAGGGAATTTGAGCGGCATTTTTGCGCTACAATTACCGTTTTGAACTGAGGTATCTTGAAACTGAGCTCGAGCTTTAACAAATAGTAAGAAAAACGAATCTTCTTCCTTCTGTAAAATAATCAGGGTACTGTGTCGGTTCAAGGTAGATTTACAGTAGTTCTGCGTAATGAAATTATTGAAATTTGAATGCGCGCCAAGGCCCAGGGGAAGGGATACTAACTTTGACCTGCTGTATGTCATCAAGTTACGTGTGATGCTTCCACCCTGCTTTCTTCCTTAAAATCCAGCTGTGTACTGATTTTCTGCGAATGAAGAAAATCTAGAGAAAATCTGACAAATAGAAGATACTTTGACAAACTGCTTACTGACGATTTTAAAATAATTTCGAGATCACCTTAAAACTAGAGTTCAGTAGTGGTAAAAATTACATATTGACCACGGTAAAATCAAATATATCATGATAAATTGTTGAGATTCCCTCTTTCAACTCAGCTTTCAACACGAGCGGCATATCAGAGGGTTTCAATAATGCCTACGCGAGTAGGGATAACTAAAGAAGAAGTCTTTTGCTTTCAGATCCCTGGTGCGTAGATGGGCGGCTTTGAGGCATTTCCACGGAAATAGATTCATAATACAAAGGAGAGATATATAACACCTGCATTTCTCGGAAAAAATTTATGAAGCAGAGGCAAATGGTCCGATTAGGATTTGCCGAGTCGCAGTGATGGTGGGAGGGGAGAGAAAGGGCGGCTGATCGCTTTCTGAGAGCAGCATGTGGGTAAGCTTGCCTCAGTTCACGATAAGTACGTGTGCATGTACGCCGTTTACTAGGTTTTGGACTTTTGGAGTCTTTCAAGCCAAAAATAGTAAGGATCCTCAGAATTTAAAATGCCATAATTAAGAGTCGCGGAAATGAGCGCTTGTGCTCAGCTGCCTACTGAGCAGGATTATTAGGGGTGGTTAACACCTGGAGAAATTATAGAAAAATAATTTATTTCAAGAGCGGTTAGGATTATTAAAATCATTCTTGCAAAGTTGCACCCGCTGTCTCCATAGGAACAGCAAAAATGAGGCAATCAAATCTTGCATACGGGCTCTTGAGTTGCTACCCTTCATCCCCTTCCCTTCAGAAGCAATGACTGTCACAAAAACTTTTATAAAACTCTTAAAATGTTTGTTATAGGAAATCGTTTTTGATTTTTCTTTCATTTTTTTTCCTTAAAGAAAAAATAAAATGTACAAGAGATAAAATTGAATGGAAAAATTGTTTTAAAAAAACTCTTTTATAATGTCCTTAGTCCATTTTTTTTTTAAAAAAAGGAAAAAACTCATCCGGCATAAGTTTCACAAAGATTTAAATGCAACTTTAGAAAAAGCAAAATGGGCCTCCTAAAACGAACATTTCAACACTTTTATAGGGGTTTTTCAAAATCGCTTTATAAAAGTCATTTCTACTTGGGTTTCTTTGGATATTATGATCAATATTCAATGGTGCGTTGATTCAGTATATTTGGAAATTTGCTGATTAACAATAAAACTTGAGGTTCCTATCTTCGGAATGAAGTAGAAAAGAAAGTGACTTGAGTTAAAGCGTAGCCTTTGTTGGTACAAAGTGAAACTGAATTAAAATCAATCCTAAAAAAACTTTGGCGCAACCTTCGTAGTTAATCAAAATACACCCCCCCCCCCCAAACTAAAAGAGAAAACTCACGTCCACTCGGTACAAGCCGAGAGACACTAGTTTTTTAGCTTACGAAAATTAAAAGAAAGAGAAAACATAAGATTATATGATTTATTCAAAATTTGAACCTTTTCATATTTATTAATTCCTTTACTCATACACAACTACAGGTTCAACAGTAAATACAATGAAAAACTTAAGGCAACGAACTGACAGGTAAATAGCAACATAACAAAAATCTAACAGGGCGAATTAGCATGATAGACAAAGACAATAACCATTTGTCCCGAAATCTCATTAAGAGAAAAAAACACTATTTGAGCTTTTAGATCCAATTTCCATTGAAATTCAGAATTTTAGAATGGCAACTCATCATTCTGAGAGACATCATTAGGATAAGAGTAAAAAGCATAATTTTGGTGCAAATTGCAACCTCAAGCTATAATTATTCAAAGCATGCGAATACAGAGAGCGAATGCTGCCATTGTTCTGAAAAAAAATTCAGTCACTCGAGCTTGCCAGGTAGGGCTCATGAGCCTGATACGAAAATGGTCCTGGTGGTACCATATCCGACTCAGTAAGCTAAAATCAAGAGTCTAACATAAGCAAACTAACGGCAAACTGATCAAAAACTCCTTGCAAACTTTTGTTCAGAAAAATTGTTGACTCTCGTTCAGTTAATTCAATTTTTCACCTAGAGTTGTCCTTTTTTTTGCATGTTTTCCTGGCACTCTGGCAGCGAATACGAGAAGGTAAGTTAGTATGAAGCATGCTAATGACTTTGTTGCCAAAAAAAATAAATAAATAAATAAAAAGAAATAAATGTGAAAATATGACATGTTCAAATGAATAGCATGAAGAACAATGGTCCTGGACAAGTTGGCTCCTACTTTCAGTCAGAAATATATGTAACTCAATGATACCAAGAGGATTTTTACAATGGACTTAACTCTTGAAAGTGAAGCCTACTCCACCATTCAGATCCATCATTTGGACTGAGTCTAACAGGCCCCGTGCAAAGTGGCAAAGTGGCATCAAATTTGAACTAAGAAAAAGGGTAAAATTTCATTCCCCCGTAGGAATTAATGTTAAGGACAAAGTTCAAGGACTTCATATTTTCCCGTTCAAAATATTTTTATAGACTTTAATTTTTTGCCAGGAGAAAATTTACAAATAGTTAAATCCAAAACTGCTCCCTACTCTCCTTTTTTTTTCCAAAATGCGTCATACGCTTCTGATAAACTCAGTCCAGTTGATCGCTTGGTAAACTCCACCTAGGAAACATGAGAAAATTTGTGAAGACCGTTGGCAGTAAAATCTAATTTTTAAAAGCAGGGACCACAGCAGTAATAATTCATTTGATACAAATTAAAAGTGAGGTGGTTTGACCATCTCATTCATAAATATAGTTTCTGGATATGGGCTGATTCAAAAATAGAATGAGGGGGAAAAAACACAACAACAAGTACAAAATGACATAATAAAATGAGAGTCCCTACAGTGAAGTGCTAATGCTCATTTGCTTTTAAGATAAAATGCGGAGTAGGCAAAATAAAAAAAAAGAAAACACATGGTTGTACCCTGTCAAGCTTTTTGATATAAATGAATCGCTGCCTATAATTTCAAGTACTTTCGACAGAGCATTTAAATTTCGGATTAGAGAACGGACCAAGTTTGTTAGAAATACACCATTTTACATCAGGTTTGAACCAAGATAAAGAAAGTTTTATTCCTTCATGAAACCTCAATGTTAAGAACAAAATTTTAACTTCTCTTTTCCTGTTCTGAACATTTTCCCTCAACTTTGAATTTTGGACAGGAGAAAATTTACCACTAGTTGACCCCAAAACTAATTCCGACTCATTTTTTCTCAAAATAAAACATGGTGCGTTTCTACTAAACACAACCGAGATGGTCTTCATTAATTAAGAACTTAATGGCTTTGTGATTTTAAAAGCTGAACCACTTTTAGCTCAACAACTCAATTTTACAAGAAATCTTTTCATTCATTTGACTCAATTGCTTTCACTTCTACAAGAAAATTTTGCCGTCAAAAGTTCTGCAGCTTTCAGCTTGGAGCTCTCAAAAATGTTCACTTGCTCAACAATTCACCATTGATATGAGTGATTGTGTCATACATTTGACCAAATCTGTCAAGAAATCATCGCACACAATTAGATTTTTTGGGTTTAATTTCCAAAACTCATAAATCTTAATGGCTAATTTTTATCCTCTTGCTGGAATTTCACCTCATCAACTTTTTTGAACCTTTTGCGTAGCTAAATTTCTGCCTGTCACGTCTTACACCCTTGCACAGGGACAGTTCAATGTTTACTTGGGGTAGAGAAGCTTCCTTCACAGAAAGAATACTTGCAAAAATTTTCCAGGCAAATAAAATCTGTTGTTGTATAAGTCGGTGATATCTTCTAAAGACAAATGTCAGCAGATTTGCACCTCACTTCATTACCTCCTAATCCACAAAGTCAGAGTAGATCATGTTTGTTGACTCATGGATCACCCTTCATCACCAATCTTGATGAGTGTCAACGAACAAGGAATTTAAGTCATAAAGAAAATATTAAAATTAAAATTTAAACATAAGTCAACTTCAAAGCCTGTTTGACTAAAACAAATAGATGTCAAAGATTGTTACCTAATTTTGATTCGTAAACACCTAAAGTACATCACAAAAATAAATCACTAGATATAAAACTAAAATTACAAAAATTATCACAAGAATGAACCTACACAGTTGCGTAAATTTCAATCTACACAACAACAATACTTTATTTCAAACAACTAACGGTGATGATCCTAAAGAGAACCATTCATCGGCCCTATAGAATTTATCACCATATCGAATTGATTACAGTCTTCTTTCATAGAAAAAAAGGTTCGACAACATGAACTATTTTTGAGCTTTCAGTTAAAGTTGAAAGTTACAAGATTCAAGTTGAGACTTGTAAAGGGTTGAAAGGAAAGTTTTTACATAGGAGAGGAGTTACTCAGCAACTCCTGGTTGATAAAGTTCATTTAATTGGTAGGAACATAGATCTAAATGAGAAGCACAAAGGTTCATGATTTTTGGAATTGAAAATGAAGGGAAACTAAGAGAGCGAGGTGGTTCTGCACGCAAAAGGTTAAAATAACGAGTATAATACAGAGGCTCAACTCTTCATTTCAGATCCTTGGATTTGGCAAGCAACAGGGCTATCTTCATCCGTGTCGCTCTCGGACTCCACTGGTACTTTTCTAATAAAAGCTTCTTTTCTCTTCTTACTCGTACTCTTAAACTCATTGTACGTTTTACTTTCTTCACCAGTATGATGGAAGGAAATAAGAGGTAGCAGAGCTGATCGTATTGACGTGAACAATTTTGGAAACAGAATCTCTTGCTGTGCCAATAACTGCTTTGTTCGGTGCCGCTCTTTTGGTGCCTCAAAGCATGCAGGGCAATTCTCTGGAATGACAGGCAATTTACGGCTTTCAGCAAACTGCCGCAGGTTTCTCTCCCGTACGTAAATGAAAGGTCGAATCACTCGTAAATCTTTTTCTTTAATGTAATAATGAGCCTTCATGGTTCTTAATCTTCCATTATGGAAAGTTGACATTAGGAAACTTTCAGCTAAATCATCCAGGTGCTGTCCAAGAGCAAGAACATTATAATTGTTGTTTCGAGCAGCTGCATACAAGCGGCCCCGTTTCATACGACTACAAAAACTACAAATTGAGCTACAGTTAACACTTGCTGCTTGCTCTAAGATGGGCTGTTTTTCATACAAATAATGAACTCCTAAGAGCTTTAGATAGGGTATCAGTGGCTGCGGGTTGTACGCCGAACTTCCTGGATCGACAGTAGCAGCACCCAATTTGAAACTGATTCCTTTACTCTTTGCATAGTACTGAAACTGATGAAGAGTATGAAGTAATGATAAGGAGTCCTTACCGCCCGATAGACAGACCATTACGCGGTCTCCATCTTTAATCATGTCAAAGTCTAGAATTGCATCAGTAGTGGGTTTCCAGATATTTCTAGGCGGGCAATGCCATCGAGGTTTTTCGACCTCGATAACTGACTTCTTGCGACAAGGATCATTGTCTGACTGATAAAAACATTCTAGGGTTGATTCAGAGCTCATTTTGTCTGTATCTGACTCCTGCTTGTCCAGACTGTTTGCCTCTTTATCCGAACAACTACCATTAATACCGCTGTCTTGAGAACTTGTATTGTTTGTGACCTCTCCACTTTTAAGCAAAGGCTTTTTACGGAACTCACAAGAAGAATTTAATATGCGACGACAGCCTTCGGATTTCTTTGTTGTTTCAGAGTCACTCATGTCATCTGTGCTCAAAGATGTTAATGAGGAACGCTCAACATTTGGAGAAATGATCTCATCAACCGCGCTAACCATTTCTCTAAATTCTGACTTCATCTCAGAAACCATCTCTGTCGTCAGTTCAGCTAAATACTCAGCTACATGTTCCGTGACATCAGTGGTGGGAGAGGCACCATCATTAGTTTCAGAAGTACAGAGTGGTGCAAAACTGTTGGGTTGTGAATATGAATACTCAGGTAGGTACACATTATTGTGTGAAGTATAAGAAGATGGAATGGAACCATGCTTGATCAAAGGCGCTGAATGAGGTGCTGTTGCCGTATCAAAAGAAGAGGTAACAATAACCGGAACTGAATTGTTGCGAGGGAAAAAGGCCCCTGTTCCGTTCATGTTCTGCTTCATTTGCGGTAATTGACTTTGCCTTCGGTCTAAGTAATTATATTCTGATAAACTTTCTGAGCTTTCCGATAAGGCACTATCTACCGTTGCAATTACTTCCCTCAGTTCAGACTTGATTTCCGTTGCAAGTTCTTCTGTTACTTCTTTCACATAAGCCTGAAAAAAAATGAAAAATATTAAAGAAAATTGAAATAAAAATTATAGGAGGTGAAGTCACATGTTAAGATACTAATATTAAAGATACATAATTGATCTCCACTTCAGAAATAATGCAAAAACAACTAGAATTTATGTTTTATAAGTATCAATACTTTCGTAACATTTCATGTTCTCAAAAAAAAAAAAAAAAAAAAAAAAAAAAAAAAAAAAAAAAAAAAAAAAAAAAAATTCAGTAATAAGAAAACTAACATTCAAAGTACCGGCAACGTTCAATAAGTAAGTATCCCTCCACTAAAATCTATAAAAAGGGACCAATTTTAAAAAAAACTTGGGCTTAAAATCTTCCTTAGGATATACTGAGTTCAACAAAACAATGACAAAATCTGACCATGTGCAGCCATATGGAACCACTTCTTAACTTGACCTTCTGCACTCCTGATATGATGAAAGGACAAGGTTAAGATTGCTTTGCATTACAGTTCTGTACTTGATGTCCCCAAAGTTGTCTGCACTGATACCTACAAGACTAATATGTGTTATTCAAGAAACGAAAGAAATAAAAACAGACTGGAAATCTGCAACAGCCCAAACGTTCCTTTCTTTTCGTCAGTGCACTACAACTTTCAGTTCTGTTTATCTGCACAGGTCCGATTTATGGTGCTGTTCTCAGCTGGAAAAAACAAGAAAACGTTCCAGTCAAGAGGACAAGCAGCAGCCTAGTACTTGATCATGCCTTGAATACCTTCAAGTCTAATTGGAGCACAGCCTTAGAGAATATTATCCAGGAGAAATATATCGAATAGATGAAACATTGGTTACTTCAAGAGACCCTTTCCTTGTCCCAATCAAATTACAGTAAAAGCAGAAAGAGCAACTTACCTGTAAATGAGCTTGATTATTGATGATTACAGGAGGAGAGGCAGTATCAGAACATCTTGCATCTTGATCGTCTAAAAAAGAAGAAATTATGTAATTTAGAACAATTAAAAACATAATGATCACAAGCTGAGTTTATGGCACTTTAATCGATTATACAGGCATTGCAGACAGATCTTTCCACTAGCACTTGACTCATTGCCTTAAAATGACGAGTATACTCATCACTGAGGCACAACTGAAAAGACGAGATCTCGTCATGAGAAAATGTCTTTTTGGATTTGTCATTTTTTGAAAGAGGGCCTTTTTTCTCTACGCTTTTATTAGAAGTATAAGAAACCTGGCACAACTCTGTGTAGTTTTTTTCTCTTCAGTACAATATTGTGGTTGTATAATATCCTGTTACTTCACCTAATTTTATTTTTTCTTGGAATTTTGCGATTTTCTTGATTTTGACAATTGTAAGTAAGGAGAAAAAGCTCATGTGACTACAGCCGACTTTTTGATTGCTCGATGTTAAGGTTTTCCAGAAAACAAATCCAGTAAATTAAGCTTTTACTGTACAACTAAACCTGCTCCATGCACATCATGGGATCATGGATCGATGGAATGAAAAATAAATGAAACAGAAGGCATTAACAGGATACCAGAGAGTGAAAGGTTAAGGTTTTTGACGCCGAGCAATGACTACGGCAACTTCTTCACAACAGAAAGGTATGAAATTATGTAATTCAAGCTTTCCCTTCCTTCACTTTAAAAAACAATAAGTAATTTGGTTCATACCTCTATTTTCACTATCACTCAATGAATTCAGTTCAGTTTGACTTCCTATGCTGCACTGCCTATTCCTTGATATGCCGAGTGATAATCTGGGATGTAGCGGTAGAGGTGGTGGAGTTGAGCCCAAGCTGTAACAGCGCTCTCTTCCTCTCTGATAAAGACCTCGCGGTGACAATGTTGAGTACATAGAGTAACTGTGCAAGTTGGATGGGTCTTGATGAGGTGAATGAGAGTCTCTACAGAAAATAAAATAAGAATGCTCAGTGGAAAGAACAAATTAAGACATAATTCAAACCTTTAAACGTGCATGACTCTTCATCTTACAGCCATTTGAGATTTGAGAAAAATGGCCAGCTGCCATGATTGGCAGGGTCATGAAACTGAGAGGTGATGATAGTCATGCATCAATCATTGGATTTAATTTTTGCTCAAAAATTTTCGCTTTGACATGGAGGGAGAAACTTTAGACTGAAAAATAGCATCGCTTGATGTGGCAACTAATTGCCTTGGAATTTACAACCCTTAGTCACAACTGATTTGAGTTGAAGGAAGGAATCAAACGGAGGACAATACAGTTATCCTCAACATTTGGTCCCTTTCAGTACCTTTCTTGACATAATACACAGACTTTCATAAAAGTTGCCAAACTGGTGCTTGTGGTTGTGTTTGAATTCAGTTTCTTTTGATAAAGATCGACAGATGTTTTCCGAGTTCAATCAATGATCAAGTTAGGGCTGTTCTATCGGTTGTCGGTAAGCTACCGAAACAGTTCCGTTAAGAAAAAGTTACGATAAGAGCGCTCATGCCGATAGCGATCAGAGTTTTCGGAGCTGACGAAAATGAGCTGTTGCCATTTGTACATCTATTTTACGCGCCGCCGCGCCAGGCAATCTGATAAACCGACACACGGGGCAACAATGCATTGAATGCGAGCTCTCAAAAATCCGATAAGACCGGCTGTTGTTGATATCATCGCCACTGTCGGTACTGCGCCAGTTTCAATAAGAGACGATATCGAAAGTGTTCCGGCAAGAATTCGTTTGAACACACCTAGATCAAGTCCTGACTCTTTAAAATAAAAAAAGCTTACATCTCTTCCATAAGTTCTATATAATATTTAAGTTAATAAAAAGCTTTACTCATCTTACCTCTGAGAAGATGTATCCAATGCAGATAAGCTGTGATGCCTTGAAAAGACATCTCTGTCATGGACGAATTGTGGCAGATCGGCAATACTACCTCGAGATCCTTGGTAATTGCAAGGGTCAAAAGGAACATTAGTTTTCACACTTAGACAATTGCCCAGAAGGAGATCTTGAGCCTCACTGGGAAGCATAAACCAACGCAATGATTCGGCCATTTCATTGAACATCACAGTTTGATCTGCCAGTGGGAATCGCTGAGCCATCTGAATTGAATAAGAGATAAGAATAATTTAAATGGAAAAATGTCATGTCTACAGATTTTGTGATATTGGATTATAAAGTATTAACTTTATAAGGCAGGTATTTATTCACTCACATTTTTTCTTTACTTTCTGGTTGTAGTTGTGACAAAAATATAATTATCCCAAACATTTTTGCGACATTATAGCCATTTGAAGCAAATATTTACAGTAAAAAATGCTTTTTCATGCTTCTTCAAGCTTTGAAATGCATTTTTTAGTAAATTTACATAAAATTTATTATTTATATATTTTTAGGTGACTAAGCCTTCACTTCACTCATACAAGGGTCGTCCAGAAGGTAACTTTACCTATTCAATATCTCTGAGACTAAGATAGATAAAGAAAATCTGTGAGAGCATTAAAAAGCCACTGCTTTGAGCTTTCTAATTCACTATAGATTTTTAAATTTGGTTCAATAGAACTTTAGAAAAATGGATTTTTCTGAACCCACCTCCACCTGCTCGGATCCAAAATTTCAAGGAGCGGCATCAGCAAATGAGCTGCTATGTCTATCGCTTATCGCAAAAAAGTGGCTTGGAGGTGGTTGAATTTCATGTAAAATATGGGGAAGCACATTTCTAAATCAGAAAATCCAGGTTCATTTGATATTATTGGATCTGAACTGCAATATGTGAAAAGATTAGGCTATAATTGGTTAACTCATGGAGTTGTGCCGGCTGAATTTGGTTTTGGTATGTGAATTGCGCTGTATAATTCGTTTTTTAACCATAAAAGGTGACCAAAGCTGCTCAAATTCAGGTTAGTTTGCAGTTAAGATGTCGTAAATATTGCATATTTTTCAAAATGATGCATCTTGGACGGAATTTTTCAAAACCGGGCGGAGTAATGTGAAGCCCTATGAACAACCCGGTCAGTGAGTGAGAGTTGATGTCGACAATTCGGTTAACTTCCGTTCGAATACAACTGGTTTTAAAGTAAACACAGTCAATCCTGCAATTTCCTAGCTGATTAATGTTTTTCGCTATTGGTTTCCATGACTTTCAACCATTTTTAAGTCACTTTTTTTGCAATATGCGATAGATACAGCACTCACAGCAACTCACTTTTTGATGGCGCTCCGTGAAATTTTCGATGCGCGCGGATAGGAGTGGGTTCAGAAAAATCAATTTTTTTTAAGTTCTATTAAAGCAAATTTAAAAATCTATAACATGTTAGAAAGCTGAGAGTTGTGGCTTTTCAACGCTCATCTTTATCTACCTTAAATTAGGAGATATTGAATGGGTAAACTTACTTCCTAAACGACCCTTGTAGTAAGCTATATCGCTGGTAACTTTGAGGTGAGAAAAAGTAACTGTGCAGCCTTAAACAGGCTGGCTTCAAGGTGCGATCCCCAATGGGTTAGGGAAAAGAAATCTTAAACTTAAGTAGTTCAAAATACCAAGAGAAAAAATGCGATACATACCTTTCTAGCTTTATTAAATAAATTACGAGCAGTCTGTAAACACTCATTATAATCTTTAGGACAAGGGATTTGACCAGACATTTTCCTTTCGTTGACAGTCATTTTCCCATCAGTGTAGCGAATGGAGCCCAGCCATTTTCTGTCCTTGAATACCTGAAATAGTATAAAAGGCATCAGAGGAAACAACTCCTTAAGCTCCACTAAACCTGCCTTGAACGTTAATCGAAGCCATTCGTTTAACCTTCCATTACACCTCCTCACGAAAGTGAAAGAAGAAAGAAAAGAAGAAAATTGAGATTTCTTAAATTTCCAAAGAAACAAAATTGGTATTTACTTAAGATTGAATTTGGATTGACTTTGTTCTCAAGTTTTCGACAACTTCCTGATCACTGTCACCGAAAATAGACAAATAACTTGATGGCTATCTTCAGAGGTGGGACCATTATTTGGACGTATTTCTGCTAAATGGAACTAATACCACAATTAATAGGGTATTACCACAGTTAATCAGAAATTTCCAAGTTGGGACTTAACCTCTACCTCTTATTTTCTGTGATCACCTTGTCTTCCAAGCCCCTTCATTGACGTTTTGTGCGTTTGAAAATGCCAATGTACTATTCGCGAAGGATCAGTCTCCGCAGGTTGAATTTCGTCATTTATTGGAGCAAATGATCGACATGACATACATATTCATTTTAATAGTTCGGCAATTGGACTATTCCTGCTGAGCAGAACTGAAGACAAGTGGGGAAAATGGAGTGTGCTTGTGGCAGCTGTATGAGAAACAATGTACACAAGAGTGGGCATGGCTTCCTTTGGGGAAATGGAAAAGCTGATCTTACATTCTACCAAACAGAATGAAGAGTCAACTGAATGCGCCACTCATGCATGTGACAAGAGCAATGTTGATAGGGTTCATGAGTTCATGCGGACCATTGCGGAGGTAATCACTGGCGCTTTATAATGCCCATCTATTCTTACAGCCCTTGACTAACGAGGACACCCCTTCCTTTCCACCTGTCTCTGGTTCCACTTAGTAGAAATAGGTCCATTTTATAACATCACTGCTTACAGATTTCACAGATTAAATGGAGGTTTTCATTGTCTAAGGTTTACTCTACCCCTGAAAAAGCAATATCTAAATTTTGGCTTCATTTAAGCAACAGAAATTTCAGGAAAAAAAAAAAAAAAAGGTAAATGGATGCATTCGGTGATGTTTCTTGATTTTCGAGCATATCGATGTGTTTTCGACTTTCCAGCTCTCCCCCTCATTTGTCTCCCTTTTAATATGTTTCATCGCAGTGCTTGGCACTTAAAAGAATGATTTTAAAAAATCAGTAGCGCTCTTCAAGAACAGCATCTGTGTAAATTTGTCGCAAGAATTAGCCCCGTTCGTACAGATCAATATACTATTAGCTATACTGAAAAGTCTTTAAAGACAAAATTCTGTTCCAATACATTTCCTTCACAACTTGATTTCAGTTTTGCATCATCAGGTTTGAGTCCAATGTCCATTCATCTACTAGTGTAGTTGATACAGCAAATGACTATACCACCTAATAATGTTCAATAACTAGTACTTTTCTTCAGAACATACACTAAAACTGAAAAAAGTATCAAAGTTAAATACACCGTTACTAAGAGCAATTGTGTATTTAGGGAGTAAAGAATCGACTGTCCTTGTAAAACAAATCTACTCACAACATTAGTATGATGCCTCCATTCGCCAGTTTCAGGATTCAATAAGTACTGAGGTAACAATTTCCAGCCTTCGGTGGCTACCATTTTCAATGCCTCCAGGACAAAATTCAGTTCAGAGTCAGACATAAAAAAAGGTATGGAGATTCTTGTGAAACCAGGTCTCAGCATTTCATAAGAGGAATGTTCCTCATGGCGTCTTAAATGATGTCTGTCTAGTCGACTGGAAAAAAAATTGATGAAAACTGTGAGAGGACAAACTTGAAAAAGCATCTCAACTGAATTAAATACAAGAAGAAGCCTACCATTTGTCTTTGTGAAATTCTTGCATGAGAAATTTGGAAATTTTTCTTCTGAAAATAAGACTTGCGAAGATATCATGAGATCAGGCCATTTACTAGATGGTTTTTCACTGTGCTTCAGTCTCTCTGTTTATCTGTATCATGCTTTCATCTACCACCAAAAAAAAAAAAAAAAAAAAAAAAAAAAAAAAACCCAAAACCAAAATTGTGAATAAAATAAAATGTCGGTTGGTGCACTCAGGATTTCTGACCAATTATTTGTACTCAATTTATGATGTCAATTAATATACTCAGTCTTGAGTGTTCACTAAAGAAACACAGCAAATTCTTTGACAACAAAGAAACTAATTAAAAAACAATAAACAATAATATCAGGAACAAGGAATCTACCTATCTTCCAATAAAACTTGCTCATACTGCATAGCAAGATCTTCATCAATACCCATTAGATCTTGAGCATAAGGCCCTGCACAGGCGCAGCCGCCACGAGCTTGAATGCCAAAAACATCGTTGAGAACGGAACAAATGAAGTTGTGATGAAGAAAAGTCCCCCGAGGATGCCGCACGAGGAATGAGAAGATAGGTAGTCTTTTTACTCCGTGAGATGTATTACCTAGTAACAATATTTCTGGTATGGTTCGGACATGAGATAGAAAGGTTCTGAAACAAACAAAGAAAAAAAAACCGTTAAGTTATTGGAAAAAATCTAAACTAATCTTAAGATTCACAAATGTTAATGTTTCTAACGAATTGTGTTATTAGTACCTCACTTTCAGCATGAATCCACGATATTACGACCAAAACTACTTTAAACTGGTGTGACCTAGAATCAAAGCAGTTACCTGCGACACCAAAAGATGACTATCTGCTCATCTAGATTGTTCAAAATTACGTGTGTTTAAATGTGCGATGCCATGGGGGGGGGGGTGTGCCAACTAGACTGGAATGCGAGTACCCACTTTGATTCTAGGCTACCCTACTTTAAACACTGACAAAACCTTTGGTTCAAACAAAACAAGTTTGAATTCACAAATGATGTTTTAGGAAAAGGCATGCAAAGTCACGAATTAATTTTAAAATTTTATTTTAGAGCATTACTGAGCATTTAACAAGTTAGTCTGAGGACCTGAATCAAGAAACATGAATTTATGACGTGAATAAAGGAAGCTCTTAATAGGTTAATTGAGTTTCTTAAGGTCCAATATATTTCTTTTCTTCTACTTTTGCATTTGGGGAATATTTTTACATTTAAAGACTCTAACATAATAGCAATAAGTCGAATTACTTAAGCTACTTTAATCTGTTACAAAAATGCATGGAAAAGGTTTATTTATGGCACATGTATTAGTAATTGTACTGCCATAGAATATATTAGCTACAGTGGTTTTTTTCATGACAAACGGTTTTTTTCAGTGCAGATTCAAATTATTTTACTTGAACGTAAAGCGGTTACTCAAAAAAACTAGATTGTTCATAATAGGCTCCACAGTAACAATTTGGCCTTGCTGGGCAACTGAAGGGGACATCACTAATCATAAAACTCAGGTAATCTATTGACCAGTAAAATTTGGAAAAAGGATGTGAGGCATACTTCACTATTTTTTCTTCGTAAGTCATTATGTTTGAAACACCAACCGCCAATTTGAGTTGCATTGCTAAGCCTGCACGAATGGATTCAACTATGGCTCCTGTTCCTCCTTCTTCACGTAGCTCTGTGTCCTGAAAAAAGATGGAATTTTTTTTTTTTAAAAATAGAATATGATGCTCATTTTTAACATTTTTTAGACTGTTTTTTACCTTGGATCTTTTTGTGATGTGAGAAAATTGTCTGAGGCAGGAAATTATATGGCTAAGATTGCAACTTATTTTTGCTTGAAAGACTTTTTGGACACATAGTACAAGGCAGTGCCGTTCCCTCCTTCATTTAAGCCTTACCAACTTTCAAATCAAAATATGACTAATCCTTTTTTGTAAGTTGTTTCAAATAGCTATGATTACCTGATTTTGGGAAAATTACTGAATTACAATCCTTTTGCTTAAAACTTTAAAACTAAAGCCTTTTGGAGAATATATCTAGGAGTTGCAAGATACCGAATTCTCTTAGTTATTATAAAATTTGATGATTTTAACATGCTAGTAGGAATTCGTAAGCCCAATCAAAAACTGAAAAATTCTCAAGTGTAAATTTAACAATAGGCCAATGGCTAGAAATTTTTGCAGGGTTGTAGTATAGTTTCACATACGTTCAATTTCTTGAAAAGACTGAAAGGTTCATTGAAAAATTCAAAAAGTCATTTCTGAGGGGAGAGACAGCAAACGCCGTCTCCCCTGCCTTACTACAACATCAGCTTCAAGCATCCACTCAAAATATTGTTTCAAACAGGTCCCATTTTTGGCATTTTTAAAACGGGGAATCTTTGCCATTTAGTCTTTAAAAAAATCTGGATAAATTCCTGGGAGCTGTTTACTCAGCATTTTTAGAAAATGAATTGAAAAAAGTGAGTGCCACTGAACCATACCGTACAAAAAGACTGAGATTCAGCTAATTAATGAGGTACATACTAAATCCTTCTTTCAGTATCCTGTTAGAAGTTTTATTGAACGAGAAGTTTATTGGAGATATTCATATCTACTGAAGAACTTTCAAATAATAAGAAAGGACAATATTTTTCAGTATCCTTGCTTTTCTTTGATTAAAATTTGTATTTAGCAGAAGATAAAGTCATTAGAAAAAAAATGAAAAAATATGCACCTGCAAGTAACGATGACCATTCCGCATTACAAAAAACACAGTACCCCCACCACAACCTTCTGGAATTGGATTTTGAAACAGCGATTTCTTGGCTATCAAAATACCTGAAAAAACAAAAGGGCTTATGATGAAAGAATATTAACATGTTTTCAGCAATATGTTCTCGCCATTTGGTCCTCATTAGGCCAGCAAGCGAGTCTAGGGTGGCATGAAACAAAAGAAATTATGAATTTTGGAGATTTCTATGAAATATTTCATGAAATTTGTTTCTGTGAGAGAAATAAATTAAAACGAGATATTGCAGAAAAAGGTGGATCAATTTTTACAATAAGATTTCAAGCAGTAAGACTAATCTTACTGCATTTGAAAGTGCCGAATTTGGGCTCATTGGACATTTTTTAAACTATAAAACATGACGCTTTGAAACTTCCAGTATGGATCTCCTGGATTTTAAAGCATATTCTTGTAAACATGCAAATTCCACGTTGTTGAATTTTTTTGTAAAGAAAAATAAACATGTGAAAGGATATTAGTCAATATTTGATATTCGGTTGCTTTCCGTCAAATCTGTTCAATTATAAATTGCGGTTTTTGCTCACTTATTCATTTCAGTGGCGTGGCGTGACTATATCCGGTAGGCGTTCGGTAGGAGTGTTAACTTTAGGGGGGGGGGGGTCAAAAAGGTTCACTCCTCTTCCTTAAAGGGGGGTTCGGGGGGCTTCCCCCGGAAACTTTTTAAAAAATGAAGCCGCAAGAACACGATTTTAACCCTTTCTGGTGAAAATTGTGCCGGTAAATTGTCATTGAAATGTTGTTCTTTTTACAGATCGGTTTCCTGTAATTTATATTGTTAAATGATAACGTATTTCCGCAACACGCACCTGCAGAGAGAGGTGGGTGCGGCCCGCAGGCGCAAGGGGGGAAGCGGAGGGCGAATCGCGGCATAGAGGAAATTCGGCGGTTCGCAAACCCCTGCGGACCACCGCTATAGGAAACAGCTGGACTGATGAGCGGCTCTCCTCTCTCGTTCTTTTCCCCTCCCTTTTCTCTCTGCTGTGTTCCCTCCGCGAGCGCGGTCCGCACTTGTCTCCGAACCCAATGCTCACGCTCCGCTCTGCACTGCGCGCCGGTGCCTCTCCTCTCTCAGTACCCTTTGCCCCTTCATCATTGCACCCAGGTTCTCTCTCCTCACCGTACGCAGATCATCCAGGTTCGGTAGCCGGTGAGGACCACGCGTCAAAGGATTTTCTCTCTCCGCCCGCGCCACATGCCGCTGTTGGAGCCAAGCGCCCGATACTTATTTGCGATCTACTATTCTGTATTCCTCGAGTTATTATATATTGCTTCCCACATTCTTAGCCATAATATATTAATTGTTTCAAAATATTTTAGGGTGTTTGGCGAACACTGCGAACCTATGGACGCCACGCCACTGATTCATTTCTTCCCAAGATGGAAAAGAGAATTTTGTATTATTCATTGAAAGAATTGATTTACATAAACGTTTTGTTTTGGCAGTATGCCAATACTAATTCAGTCATCTTTTTAATACAAAGGAAATATTGTTGATAGAACTTTTAATAAAATCTCCTTCTCTCATTTTAAAACATGCGAGTGTTAAAGTAATTGATATTGTAGCAGAGACGCACTCTAGTTAGGAATACGCCTCTGTTAGGAGCACCTCGGACATACAAGGGAGATTGCGTATTTCTCGGATTATTGGATTATTTCTCGGACTATTTATTGGAAAAACGCGATCTCTCACATATGTCCAAGGTGCTCCTAACAGAGGCGTACTCCTAGCTAGAGTGCGTCTCTGCTATAATGTACAGAAAAATCATACCAGGTGTTTGTACTCCTCCAACAAATTTATGCCCGGAAAAATAAATTGCATCTTTATGAACAGCTCCTTCATTTAGAGATGGAAAAAGAGGATTCATGTCCATTTGAACATACGGTGCTGAAAATTAAAAATAAAAGTTTAGCAACATTATTCTTTTTTTTACAAAAGTAAGTTAACAACGAAGTTAACCTGGCTGGTTAAGTGGCTTTCCTTTGAATTGTCTTCTCTCAAGATTAATGTTCATTGCAAAACCTTGAAGAGGCAACAGTGAATGCAAGGCAGATAGTGATTGCCATCAAACAAACTGATAAAAACACAACATACAAATATAGTTATACAACGAAATTATAGTTTGAAATGCATATTGTAGAATATTGTTTAAAATATGTAAGTTTATAAAAGTTGTGATATAAACGTTATAAAAGCTTAAAAGATGCATTATCTTACCAGCGGTGGCGAAGTCCCAAAATGCCAAAGCTCCATACTGGTGGAGCAAAAGAGTTGTTGCTATATCGTCAGCAACTATACCCGTGATATTTGATGCAGCTGTGAAGCAACCAATTAATTTTGTGTCAGGTGACTCCATTGTTGAATGAAGCTGTAACTGGTTTTCCAAATCCACCAAGTCTAGGAAACCTTCCTTCGTCTCTGAGATTCTGATGATCTAAAAACAGTGGATAAATTATTACAAGCTAACTCATGGCAAGAAGATGCATGCAAGCTCACAAAAAATTTATTTCCTGTTACTACAAAACTCATTATTTGACTCATTTTTCGATTTTTTAAGGCTTGTTTTGTAAATATTAGGTGCCACCATGACCTATTCAGGCACTAGATCGAACCTCTCTCAACACAATTATTGGCTAAAGGTATACTTTTGTGCCAAAAAAAATATTAAAATTATTAAGGCAGATAATAGAATTGTCAATGAGGCAACTTTTAATTGTATTAACCCATGCAAAGATAGACATTGAAGTAATTTTACATTTTAGCAGAATAATGGACAAATCATCGAGAAGCTTTGAATTCTAATGAATCTCTACTCGACGTGAATGAGCACACTTCAAAGAATCAGTTGCATGGCGTGCTTTGCGATATATCGATCGATCTGCTGTATGAACCTATGGAGAAGAATCGATTAACAAGGTGTTTGCAACAAACACCTTAATAATCAATTCTTCACCGTAGCTTCAAATGGGGAAAGATCAATAAATTGATCATTCACGCATCGCCACTGCAAAGAATTGACTTTTCCCCAAAATGTTGGCTTAACTTATCCTGGCAAAAAAATTCAGAGGCAGATTTCAGCTGGCTATGACCTTCGCTTAATTAGTCAAATTGAATGTTTAGTTGGCTCGTTCGGAAATGTTTAGCTGTTTTAGAGTTTCCAAACAAAATTTTACAGGAATAATCAGCCAAAATATACTCTCACAGGTAAAGATTCCATTTCCAGCTAAATATTAAAAATGAAACCTGTATTTCAGCATTTATAAGAAAATTACTTTGATATTCCCTCATTTCTAGTCTAGATTCATCTTATGGTAGTAGATCATATCATGGTGTCTAGAATGATTGACCACGCTCATTCCCTGATTTTTCCCTGATGAGGAATCCAAGTTTTCTCCCACTTTGCCAGGATTTTTTAGAGAAAACTGATATAATTCTCCGGAGTTCCAGATATGAGTATCGATTTTTTATTTTCATCTTACAGCGGTTCCTTCAGCTTACATTAGAATTCTTGATTCTAGAAGTGTTCCTTGTGTTTATATTAACTGGTCAATGAAAGATTCTCCATTATTCTGATCAGTCTCTGGAACGGATTCTTGTGTTTTTCCTTGAGTTTCCGTGAAATTGTTCATTCCCTTATGAATCCCGGGTTTTCTTGGTTATTCCCAGTCCTAGAAATCATGGATTAGATAAATAATTAGAGGGAAGAAAACACTTACTTTGGCGCCGATTTCCCTCCATGGAAGTAGATTGGAGTGATGTTCACAGGGTCCTACGAAGACGACAGGAGGCTCGATGAGGTCCAGAGCATGGATTAGTTTATGGACAGCTCCGGTGGTGCCGTTGCCCGCGAAGATTACCACATCGTCCTCTGTCGCGTGGACAGCATTGCGAAAAATATCCCGCGATTCATGCCTAGAAAATGGAAAAAAATAAAGAAAATAGAAAATGGTCACACATTTCATCACAAAGTGGAAATTGTTGAGACGCTGCGGATAGGAGATTTACTTCAAGAACAAGGTGGTACAATAGTGCTGGGTCCTCACTATTTTTATTTTTTTTTGGGGGGGGGGGGGTGGAAACAAGGTCAATAATTTCACGAATGTCAATTGGAGTCAAAAGTTTTGAGCTTTAACGAGTATCAGTGCAAAACTGAGGGAGGAATGTTCAGCTCAGGCAGTTTGCATTGGAATATTAAGTTGAGGTCACGTTTTGGGTCTTTTCAGACTTCAGGACCATCAATATCCAACAACTAACAGTAAGTTTGTGTGACATTTCCTCTACACACGAACAGGGGCGTCATTTCTGCCGTGACAGCGAAGAGAGCAGTAGGTGCATGCTGGCACGAACCTGGAGATATATGAAGGCATGTGTTAACCATGGCTCATGCAGAAATCCACTTACTGCTCTCTTGGCTATCTCGGCAGATTTGAGATC